TCTTTTCACAATTATAAGAAAAGAATGAGAAGTAATGAAGAAATCAGATGAATATTACACTTTAATAAGTAATAAGACTGTAGCCAGTTGTATAATAACATGCTACAGACAGTGAGTACAATATAGTAAAGAATAGTCTCAAAGTAGCAGACTTACATATAAGTCAGATCATAGAAGAAAAAGAAATTCAGAGTTGAATTCAACTGTTTACACCAGTTCAATTACAGAGATTACAGAGGATAAACTATTCAAAACATTCACAGACATATGAGACTAAGCTATCTCAACTTCTGAGAACACTCAGAGATCAGATGAGATTAGTTTCAATGAGCTATTCACTGTAGTGATCTGAGTGAGTGAAGAGAGACAGTATAATATATGAGATAGAATCATAAAAGATGAAAACTGCTGAACCTAGTCACTGAACACTGTATTATATAGAGATTGTGTAAGAGTAGTGACTAGCAGATAAAGAAAAAGCATAAGAAAAGAAAAGAGATAATGAATTAATCATTAACTGTAAGAGTCAGCTGTAAAAGATAAATATTATTATACATATCTCATTCATTTTCATATGTTATATATTTAATCTATTTCCAACACCACATTATCTGAAAAACATCAAAAATAAAGAAAATCTCAAAACTCAAGGTCTGCAAGAGATTCAAGAGCTGTAAGTCACTCTTATAATAATATCACACATGTCTCTGATTCCTCTACTACTCTGTATACAATATTAATGTCATTTATTGCAAGATTGACTGAAATGCTAATATAGAAATGCATACATGTATGTGTAGAAAAATTGAAGAAGAGTGTGAGACTCACAGAACCAGAAGCCAGAACAGAGAGAATAGAGGTGAAAGAAATAGAAGAAGAAGAAGATACAGAATCAGACAAATAACAGCAGAAGTCACTCAGAGTCAAACACTTATAACTCAGTATGCACACAACCTTTCTCACAGAAGAGAAAGAGAAAGTGATGAGAGAAGCTTAGAGACAAGAGAGAGTAGTCTCTGCAGTGTTATCATCTTCAATTAGAATGGCCTCTGACACTGAAGCAACTAAGAATCATTGTTAATATATAAAAATCAAAAAATCAGAGATGAGAATAGTTACTGAATGAATATTCACTGATCTTAAAGTTGTACACATAATTACAACATGCACAAGGCTTCTCAGAAAGAGAGAGAGAAACACAGGAAAATACAGAAAGCAGAACACAGCATGTGAACAGCTCATTCTTATAATAACATCTCAGACAGAGTGTATAAGTCTCACACTCACAGATGTAAAAGAGTACAATATCTGCATTTCTGTTTCTGAAAACACAGATATTCTTCATCTGCATTACAAAATTGAATAACAGATATCAGAGAATAGACTGATACAGATCTATCATTCTGAAGAAATTCATCAGAGCAGATATATCTATAATATTGAATTTAATAATTATGAAAAGTTTCTTAATATCTGTGAATGTCACAACTTTGTGCACAGTAAAACTTATAACAATTTTCTCTAAGAACAGGAAAATCAGTGTTAGAAAGAAAAGATGAAAAGAAAAAGACTTATAATTTTAATACTATTGAGAAGAGAAGTAATTCTCTGAAATGAATGAATAATTCTCTCATCACAAATATTTAAAACAAATATAATAATCAGTGTCTGTGATCAAGCTTCAGATAGTTATGTTATATACAGTCTTCATACAATAAATTATTCTAGAAGTCAGCAGAAAGAGTAGAAGTATATATACTGATAAATATGATTCATTAAGCCTATACAACATCTCCTTGAAACAGAAAGAGCTGATAATAAAAGCAGAGATGATAAAACCAGGAGAAGCAGAAGTAGTGAGAGTGAGAGTCACAGAAACAGAAGTAGTGAGAGCAGGAGAATCAGACACAGAGACAGGTGTAGAAGATTGAGAAGAAACAGCAGAGAAAGAAACAGAGAGAGCAGAGAGAGATGTAAAAGACTCAGTTATATATGACACAGATAATTTCTTCATTATCATATTCTTCAAGTTCTTAATCAATGATTCAATATCAGATTCACTATTATCAGCAGATATGAATCTGTCAACATATGAAGATTCTATATAAATAAAAACAAACATCAGCATCTGCATTTATACAAAATTGTGTTAGAAAACATGATCAGAAACTCACTGAGAAGGAAATGAAAACAGTCAAGAGTATATAAGAAGATGAAGAGAGTGTGTTATTCATGATAATATGTTCTGACAATTATTAGAAGATAAACAAGTCCTGATCACATTTCATAATGTATTATACTTACTGCTAACAAACTGCTCAGTATGAGTACTACAATGATGCTTGTTATGAGAACAGAGAGTCATTACCAGAAATGCATACAATATAATAGATAAACAGATAGAAAGAGTTGAATAGAAGAAGAGATAGAAATCTTGAATGAGATAGTGACATTTGATGATGATAATGATGAAGAAGATAATTGAAGAATGAGAAAAGTTAGTGAATGAGTAATGTAATATAGTGAAAGTTTCTTTGTAAGAGTGTACACAGAACACTAGCTGAATCAGAGATAGATTACATGATTGTGAAATGCTAGTGGCGAGCTAATCTGCATGAAGCTAGAGTGTATGACATGATCACATGAGTATGACTGAATCTGATAAGAGAGGATGTGATTCAGAAGAATGTATAACTGTCAGATAATAACACAGCCGCTTCTGAACTAGTGTATGAATGTAAAGAGAGTCATAGCAGTCACTAATTAATTTAGCATATGATATTACAATATATAAGAAGCCGGCGTACACCTGTAATCATACACTGGCTTAAGCAACCTTTGAATCACACTCACTTATGAAATGAGAGAAGAGTATTCACTCATTATCTATATAGAATAGCTAGATGCTGACTTCTTATTAAAGAAGTCAGTGATTCATTTTTCTTCTACTGAAATATATACAAGAGTTACTGTGTTTCTTATACAATCTTCTTAGTATACTAAGTATCATATCTGTGATATTCTTGCAATAACTCTGTAGTCTACAAGCTCACTATTTAAGTAAGATAGTCAAGCTCACTTATACAGCTTCTTAAACAACTATCTCTATGTAATACTGCTGACTAGTCACTGCTTTAGTTTCATCACATTATACTTTCATTCATGAATAAAACTTCTATTTTATGTGATTCTTCAATTATTCATTGATATACTTAGACTGGCTGCTAAGACTATAAATTTCACATTTGATTTCATTTAATCTGATTTCATACATTTCTTAGTATGAATTTCACTGAGACTAGTTATTAAAAAAACATGCAAAGTGACTATATATCAGATCTTAAAATGAAATCATGACTTGAAAAAAATGAGAAAGTGATCTCATTTAATTTCATTTAGTTTCATTCTTAGCATAAAGTTACTATTTTTAGACATTTTAAGTTTTTTTTTAGACTATTTTTAATTTTTTAAAAAGTAATGCTTTTTGATAACACTCAAATGAGATTTAAAGTCATTTAAAGCAATAAAAATAATTTAAATTGAGAAGTGAAAATCATAATCTCATTTGAAAAATGTAATAAGAGTAGATAGTAAGTCTTACTGAGACAGTATAAGACTACTATCTAATTTAAAACCATGTAATGAGATCAGTTGAATTGATAATGAGACTATTAAAAAATCTAGTTCTGATCTCAGATATAATCATATAATTAGTCTAGATATACTAATCTTGATTAATTAATAAACTGATGACATCTTCATCTACACTTAGTTTCATAAGCATTTTCATTCTTCATGATGAGTAGAGAGTGAGGTTGAAAGTATTGAAATATACAGAAGTATCTAAGTGTTCTTTTAACATTTTTATATTCAATTCTGTAGATATTGAAATCACATGAGTTAATTATTAAATCTCTTTGTATTGAAGTTGTTAAGTTGCATGTATATCAGCTATTTATTATTATTGTAATTTTAACATTACTCAGAGTTATTATGATATTACTTTTATACTTATATTCAAGAGTTCTCTTATATTATCATTAGATATGATTATATTATTTTATTAAATGTATGATATCTGTGAAATCTGAAGAAGTGTAATTATATGAATATCTTATATATCTGAGTATCAGAACTCTCAGATCTTTCACTGATATTCTCTTTATAAGATCTTATTAAGTTATTATAAGATCAGAGTGACTAATAAGTAAGCTTCTATCTGAGAACTCAGTATCTGCTTTAACTGATTGTTTCTCTTTCTTATATATTATTACATGTTTGAATATCTCTTGATAAATAATCATTTCTAATGAGAAGATAATGCATGAATAATTATTTCTAATAAGAAGATAATGAATATTTTTCTAGTATAAGAAGTCTACACTGAATAGATTAATATTATATTGATAGATCTTATATAACAAAGAGAAAAATATTAGAGAAGAAAAGAAAGAGAAAGTGTGAGAATTAATAATTAAGATAAATATTTATATATATATGTAATAGTGTATATAATGAAGCTTCAGAGTAAAAGAATCTATATATATTTATAGCAGCTGAGAATTGATAATTGAGAATGACTGAGAATCACAGTATATACATTTGAGAATGAAGTAAAAGAATCTATAAAGTGTAACAGAATAGTCTATATAATTGATCAGATACAGTCTGTCACAGAATCTATTTTTATTACTATAATTAATTCAGAATCAATTCAGAATCAATTCAGAATCAATTTAAAATTAATTTAAAATTAATTATTAAATATTTTTATCTTAATATATTTTAAAATTCTGTAAAATATCTCTTTATATTCTATATGAATTTATCTGTTCATTTAATTAATTATGAATTAACTATACATGCTTCAATTGATTGATGAGCTGAATGAATGAGTGAATTGAAAGATTGAAAGTCAATTACCAACTGATTATTACTGTATTGTGCGAGGTCAGGGTCATGATTATGTAACAAGGTCAAGTGGCGCACTTAGCGAGGTCAAGTTTTCTGCTTCCTGCAACAGGGTTCAACAGGCGGCGATCAGTTCGCGCTGACTAACCCGCCCTGCCGGGAATCCGTGTGGGCGGAAAGAGTATACGTGGGGAACGGATATTCTCCTTTTCTCCTCTTCTCCTGCTCTCCTGCTCTGGACTCGCTGTCAATGTCATCCCCAGTCCATTCTCGTCTGTATCTGTGCCAGTGGTAATGTACATGTACAGAGCTACCGCCTACATAGGTGCTTGGTTAACCCCACTGGTCACCACCCAGATCTAAAACCCTGCGGAGCCTACGTCACAGCTTCAGTTGAAGATCGCACTTCCTCTTTCCTCGTCCTCTTTTTTTTTTTTTCTTTTTTTTTTCTCTCTTCCCTTAAAGACACTCACATATGTCGGAGCATATTCCTTGACAGATATTATCCTATTCCGCCCGCTTCCATCCGCCGTTGGGTCATGGTATGAGGTGCTTGTCTCTCGCTGTTGCAACAAACCCCCCCTGCGCATAGCCATCATCCTCAACCGCCTTTGCCGAAACCACTCTTTTATAGACACTCTCTGTAGCCTTCTATGTGGAAGCCTCCCTTTTTTCCATATCCGCCTTCCCAGGCTGGGTACTGGGCTCCTATTACTTCAACGCTGAACTGGTGCGAAGAGGTATGTCGTATGCTTTCTTCCTCGATCACATGCTTCCAAGAGATCCAGGTTTTTTTTTAACTCCGGTGACACTTATTAGGATTACTATGCGAGCTACTATCTCGCTGAGTTTGTGAATGCGCTCACGAATTGTCTATTCCTCTGGCTAGGCATCAAAGGCGTCCTAAGTTGCAGAAGGAATGGCCACGACTCGATTTTCCAGATTGCCTTCCTTGGTTACCTAATCGTCGGATTTGGTAGCTTCCTCTTCCACTCTACATTGAAATGTACGTCAAAGGGGACGATTATTATATATATCTTTACAGGCTCCTTTGCTCCAAGTGTCCATGAAAATTTGTAGCTAATAAATTCCGATAGACCCGATGCAACTCGTTGATGAACTTTCCATGATCTACACAACCTGCTTAGTCTGCTACGCCACATTTACCTATGCCAAATCTACCAAAACCCGTATAGTCCTCGCACTATCCCTCATGGGCCTTGCTATTTTCATCACTCTATACTACCACTACATCCAAAATCCAATCTTCCACCAGAATGCTTATGCCCTGCTCACGGCTGTTGTTCTCATACGCAGCATGTGGGTGATGGAGACTGCGCTGCGGCCCTCGCGGCGCAACAAGGGCAAGGAACGCCACCAATCGCGCCAGATCTATGAAGACGAACGTGATTTGAAGATTCTACATACCATGTGGGTCATGGTGGCTTATGGTCTCGCTACGTTCTTGGGCGGCTTCGCGATTTGGAATCTCGATAATGTGTTCTGCTCCCGCTTGCGAGGGTGGCGGAGGCAGATTGGGTTGCCTTGGGGCATCTTACTGGAGGGCCATGGCTGGTGGTACGTTAATAATTAACCTGGCAAAAAGAGAGAAAAAAATTATCGAGAGAGAATAACTCACATGGCTTTCACCCACTAACCGCCAAAATAAAATCAGGCATCTCATGACCGGCACCGGCGCCTACATGTACATTATCTGGGGCATCTGGCTACGCCACTGTCTAAATGGTCGCCAGGAAGAATATCAACTGGTCTGGCCCCGCATCTATAACTTTCCGGACATCGTTCGTGTTCCTGATCATGACAAGAGAGGCACAAATGGTTCGGCCAAAGCGCATAAGCCCTACCAAAATGGAATGCCGGAAAAGATCAATTAGGACTTTCCTGACTTTCTGCTCTGTCCCCATTTCCTAGTTTTTTTTCTACGTATATACGTATTTGGAGGTAGTTATTTTGAAGGCGCAAACCTTGCTGTTTTGCATTCGTCTATATTATGTAGACGTATGTTTTGTGATATATGATACATCTATATTAGACAGGGTTGGTGTACTTTGTTAGTGCAGCGATGATCTGGCATCAGATTTCCTTTCCTTTCCATTTTTTTTCGCCTCCCCTCTTTATTTCCTTTTATCCTGTACTAGACCTTTCGTGTGTACTGATATATAGTTTCTTTTCTTTTTTTTTTTGGCGGTGCATCAGCTTTGGAGTATCTAAATTACGGCCTTACTCCTTTTGCTGCGGATGGGGAAATTGCGAATATTCGAGGACATTAGAATAACTCTTGTAAATTTATATCGATGAATAGGAAATGTATCTATCTACATCACGCGGTTCACTATTCAAAAGACCAAAATCAAACATAAACCTCCAAGAGCTAACAAAACATAAGCCAAGGCCTTCAATACCAAAAAATTCTATATATATATATATTTATAACAGAATAGACCAACCCCATCCCATCTCCACCTCACAACTTCACCCCCCCATTTCTCCGATTATTCCTAACCGGCGGCTTAACAAGTCTCTTCCACTCCTCATCAATCATCACCTTCTCAATCCTCGACATCTTCCCCCACACTTTCCTAAACTCCTCCTCCTCCCTCCGCCACCTCTCCATCTCCCTCCCAATCCACTCAGCCGCATGGTCCGCCGTCTCTCCCACCGCCTCCATCGGAATTAGATGCCCCACATCATGCAGCATGACGGATGTGACACGGCCCTCCGCCAACCCGCCGCTGCCCCCCACACCAATGCCGGTATTGTCTAGCTTATCCTTGCAGAACTGGGGGAGACACATGTCTGACTTGTCCGCGAAGACGTAGAGGACTGACGGGCGGAGATTGGGGAGGCGGGCGAAAGTTAAGGCGGTTTCGGGCCGGTAGAAGGGGTATGCGGATGTTATGCCGGGGAAGAGATCGGGGTGCGTAAGTCTGTTTAATGGCTTTGTGTTGGGCGGGGTGAAATTTGGGCGGGAGAAGGTGAAGACTTCTTGGTGGCGGGTTGTGGTGAGGGTTACGGGTTTTGTTGCGTTTTCGGTTGTTTGTGGAGATGCTGTAGATGGCGATGGCGATGCTGGTGTTGGTGGTAGAGGGTAGATCGCCGTGGGGAGTTCACGGAGACCGTATTGGATCCAACGGTCGAGGACGCGGTGGTCCCATGCCTGGTAGAACTTGCTTTTCTTGACAGATTCTGCTGCGGCGGCGCGCGAGGGCCAGATATCACGCCGGTAGCTGGAAGCTGCGGTTGTGGTGGGGATTGTGGTGGTTTTCGTGTGGAAGGTATGGTGTTGTTGGGTTACTTCGAGTCCATTGAGGACAGGGTCCATGAGGATGAGGGAGGTGAGGAGCCGAGGGTGTAATAGAGCAAGGTTTATTCTGAGGACCGGGAGGAACTTTGGTTAGCAGTAATTGAAGGGGGGACAGGCTATACGGAGGTGACGAACAGGTTGTTACCGCCCATACTGTGGCCGATACCAAAGAGTGGACGGGGCATTTCTGCTCGATTCAGGTTGATGAAATGTAGCAGATCTCTGGGGTGATCGAACCACGAAGCTGCCATTCCCGGACACGGGGATATCAGCTATTTTTGCTCCTTATTCCTGTAATATAGAAAAAAAACTGGAATAGGTAGGACGAGCAGAACATACGGTCATTTCCCAGTACGTTCTCATTCAACACGCCGCTGTTGCCCTGATGCGCTACATCTGCAATCCAGATGCCCCTAATGCCGAAGCCATGGCGCTTTGCGCGCGAAAGGAGCTCCTCCCACAGCGGCTCATATAGTTCCTGTCATTTCACATAGTCAGATGGGAAAACATTTCATCCAAAGCAGTTGAGCGGAGTAGTGCAAGCAGGCGCACGGGGGATAGGGGGGTTAAATGAGAGGACGAACCTTCGGGAAGCCATTCGCATGAGCTCCGATGATGGTTATATCCCCAGGCTTCGGGTTAGGGTTATCGATTGGCACATACTGCTTGACAGATAACCACAGGGTCTCTTCCTGTTCTGTAGCAATTGCCCGCGGATACTCCCTGATATGCTGGCAGGGTGCAGTATGCTCAATCACCTTAAACGGCCCGGCGATCATGGTTTCGAGTGGATCAAACTGAGGCGAGTGCTCCGGACACTACAAGATGGCATGTATTGGTATTTCACTATCCCAGCTCCCCCAGATGAAGACAGAGGAATCCGCAAGAGCGGGCAATGGACTCCATCTTGAGGTTTTGTCATGGTCAGCTAGGGCTAAAGCCGGCGGAGATTCCGATGTTGCTTGTGCCGAGGTCCGTCAGCTCATCATCGCTTGGCTCAGTCGGAACCTATTCGATTTACATACAATGATATAAACATACCGTTTGTACAGGGGGAAATAGCATACAATGGAAGGGAAACACGCCTATAGGTTAGTCAACGAGATGCAGTTGAACTAAGCCTAAGATAGAACGGAGTATAGTATGCGGCTCAGTTCTCTATTCTAGAGATCAGAGCGTTATCTGACCAGCATCTCGATTTGACATGGCGGCCTTTCAAAGAGACGTCAGAATTCTTGATATTTCTCATGTTAGTAATGTGCAGAGCATATGCCTACTAGTAGGCTCCTTGATTCAGATAGCGGCTGCAATTGGTATGTATGTAGCTCTAATTGACCCCCTTTTTGGGGATTTTATGGCTCTGGAGAACTTCTAACACAAATTGAACTCCCAGTTGTTACAAATATATTACGTATTATTTATTATTTTATATTTATGAATCAATGAAACGAAAAGCATAAAAAGTCATTTAACCACCACCACTGAGCAAAACATTTTACAACCCCAGAGCCTTAAGAATCTCCTTCCCCACGCCACCTGCACTAGCGGGGTTCTGTCCAGTGATTAGAGGAGCACCAGTGGCTTCCACCTTGTCCACAACAACTTTTTCTCCCCAAGGTTCGTCAGCCTTGACATATTTCCCATTCAGCTTCTTCAGCTCGGTTTCAAGTAGATATGGCAGGTGTTGTGACATCTTGATTTGATCCTCCTCCGCGTTCGAAAACCCAGTCACCTGCGCGTCCGCAACGATAGGCTTCCCGCCGGCGGTTGCTTTTAGGAAGACGGCAGGGGCATGGCACACGGCGGATACGATTTTCTTCGATTCAGCGAATTCCTTAATGAGGCGGAGGGAGTCCGGGTCTTCGTATAGATCAAATAGGGCTAAATATTATAAGAGATTAGCAAGCGAGCCTGGGAGTTGGAGGAGAATGAAATTAGAGGAGGAATGGGACACGGGGACGTGCAACGACTTACGTCCGTGGCCACCAACGTAGAAGATGGCGTCGAAATCACTGGCTTTGACTTCAGAGAGCTTCACGGTGTTGCGCCAGATAGGCTCCTTCTCCTTCACAAAGGCGGCAGCTACGGCATCGTTGGCGAAGGCCTCAACTGAGCCAGGGTCTAGTGGAGCAAGCCCTCCCTTTGGCGAGGCGAAGACAAGCTCAGCTTTACCCTTGAGGATGTCGTAGGGATGGGCCAATTCGGGCTGTCGCAAGTTAGCGTCAGAACTCAATACATTACATTATGATATGAGATGAGCGGAATTGTGTTCATACCAAGTACCAACCGGTAGGTTTACCAGTGGCGGGAATTTTATCCTGCGATGTGAGGACGATGAGGATTTTTGGGGCCATTTTGATTGTTGAAGTATATTCTGTGCGGGGTTGCAAAGGGTTTTATTTGGTTGCTAAAGAGGGAGACTTTATTGATTGTTGGATACTATTCAAGTTTTGTGATGATGCGCATTGCTACTTTATATAGAGGGTCCTCATCGGAGCCGGATCCCAAACCTGATGTAGATGGCGAGGATCTTTCGGAGGCCTTCCAAGTCCGAACAACAACATTCCATCGATATACGGCCATGTTTGGGTTTAACGTTAATTCACTTAACTCCTTAACTCCTTCAGCTTGTCACTAGGTTGTTCTATGGGGTTCTGCTCTCATCCCCCCCCCCGGTTTACGGGACCGAAGGGATGATGCCGTGTATTAGCATCTTGTAGAACTCGTAGCTCGAACTCCGAGGACTCCGGTTGAATGGTGTTGGTGACGTACGTTATTGTGTCGGAGGTTACTACCCAACCCTATCCCATGTGACCCACCCACACGGGCTATATAGTTGGGATATTAACGTTATGTAGTTAGTATGATCTCGGCGGGCAGGGGGGGACTAAAACTTATTCATGCTCCGCACTTGCACTGTACGGAGTAGTTAGCATTAGTTGCTGCTAGCTAGATATAATAAAACACATTACTTGAAACCTCCTTACATGGAGAAGCAATGCTGAGATTTGTAATGGCAATGCATTTCTCAGGTTTCGACTTCAACTCGCTGGGGAGGAATTACCAAATGGAGTAGCTCCGGCATGCCAAACCTCCATGTTCTGTTCTACGCGCCCAAGTGGCTGTTGGTCAGCTCGAAGCATGAAACCTGGCACCCTGCCAATGCTAAGTCATCCATGGCTACTGTGTCGAGGTTAGTCACAGGCACCTAGGCATTACCACTTGCCAGTCGGAATAGCTCTCTGCTAAATGAAAGTCCACTTTGCTTCGGCGGAGTATCTCCTATCATGGACCATTAGATAATGTCTGTTCGTATCTCGTGTGCCTAACTGCGCTGGGTGAGTTGCTGTGCTGAATGGCGCGGTTCCATGGATTTCTCTGCTTCTATCCCGTCGTAGTTCTGTAGACGGGGTATATATGGGGATGGAGAGCCTGAGCTGGACGGAAAGAAAACTGCTATTCAGTGTAAACAACGTGTTCTACTTTAGTCTTCTTCAAACCAATTGATCCCCTCCCCATCCTCGTATACTCAATCTATATCTCACAGAGCCAACTACTACCTTATCCCTCAGGGCCATAAGCAGCGATCTACAAAAATGAGCTTCACTTTCGACGTGATCAAAGGCGCCAAAGACGGGAGGCTTGTCGCAGCCAAGACAACTCGGTCTTTGCAGCCAAATCAGGTCTATATCGAGATAACACACTCCGGGGTGTGTGGCACAGATGAGCATTACAGGCATGTAGACCAGGTTCTGGGCCACGAAGGAATCGGGATTGTGAGAGAGGCCGGGTCTGGAGTCACCAATGTCGACGTCGGAGATCGAGTTGGTATCGGATACTTCCACGAAGTCTGCGGGCTTTGCCCAAGTTGTTTGGCAGGTGAGATCAGTGCTTAAGGAGTTGCTCCCGATGATTCGACTGGCCAATATTTTTCTAACTAGGGGTGTGGTGATCAGGTTGGGACCAATACTGCGAGAATAAAAAGGAATACGGCAGCGCTAATTTAGATATCGGGTCCTTTGCTAATGGCGCTGTCTGGAACGCTGACCTCGTCTTTCGCATACCCGATGGTATTGACTCAGTTGATGCCGCTCCCTTAATGTGTGCTGGAGGAACGGTCTGGACAATTTTGGCCGAATATGGGGTACGGCCAGGAGACCGTGTTGGGATCCTTGGTGTTGGTGGCCTTGGACACTTGGCTATCAAGCTCGCTGCGGCCATTGGTAGCCATGTGGTAGTTTTGTCGAGTAGCGAAGCAAAGAGACAGGAAGCTATAGACTACGGTGCCAGCGAGTACCATGTGTTCCGTTCAGGCCAGACCCTGGAGAGCATGAAGCCCTTGAAGCACCTGCTGCTCTGTGGGAGTGCTGGGGTTGACTTCAACTCGTATGACTGCCGTTCACGCTCCTCTCAGTTACAACAGTTTGATTTGAACATCGCTAACGAGCCTTAATCTAGGCTCATCCCGTTGATGGACAAACAAGGGTCCATATACCCAATCACAGTCGACATGAACCCATCCTCTATTCCCTTGTTCCCTGTACTTCACAATGGAATTCGCATTCAAGGGTCGCTGGTTTCGTCACGCCGCAACATGCATAAATTACTGCAGCTTTGTGCAGCAAAGGGCATCAAACCCACCACGATGCAGTTCCCGTTGACCGTGGCTGGCGCAGAGGAGGCTATGAAGAATCTCCGAGAAGGCAAGATCAGATATAGGGCTGTCCTTGCCCGTGAAGGCGTTTGAGTTGAGAGGGGAAAAAATGAAATACATTCACCCTGGCGGAGTATGCTACTCTGAATTTTTTTTTTTTTTTTAATTATTTTTATACCTTTTAATATCCAACTTGCTCGTAATGTTATAAACAATGCATTATATCGCAAACCCATAGATATAAATTCAAGATCTCAGATTGGACCTGTTAATTTGAAATTTGTGGGAGCGTGGGTAAAAACGGGATTCCTTGACGCTGCGTGAAAGATCTAACAGTCACTAGAATGCAAAGAAAAGGCTTGCAAACCAGAACTCATAGCAGAGAAGTTACGGCAGTCTATACGGAGTAGTGACAAATGTCAAATGGGGTATTTTATACTAGTGTTACAATGAGCACACATGAATGATACTGATTGTATTAGCAATCAAGATCTCTTCATTGAAAGTTGTATGAAATAATGACTCACATCAGTGGGCCGGTTTCTACGCATATACTCGGAGTCTTCAGAGGAATATATCCAGGGGTCTCTATGCGGGTCTCTATACTCAGGGGCTCTATACACAGGGAAACTCTTATCTATATACCTTAGAGTCCAATGCAGCGGGAGAGGGCTCTATACACTCAAGAGAAGCACAGTCTGAAAGTCAAGACTGACTAAACCATATGTAGTAATATACTAACTACACAACTACATTAGGACTAGTGCAATTGGTGTGTGATTATAAAATCAGTATTATGTGGAATTAAGCCTTTACACTAAAAAAACATTGTCATTTGACACATTTGTCACTATAGACTGCCGTAGAAGTAAGCTCGGAGAGTTAACTTAATTAGTAAGTCTAAGAGGCGAGTAGGAGGTGAGAATGATGTCATGTGATTTGGCGTCGCGTTCCAACCAACGCTCGCGTCCTCAGTAGGCACGAGAGAGAACCGGACGCACCTCAACAGTACCTAACAACTCCCTCTCTTTTGCGATATCTTGTTCTCCGTGCCAAAGGCCTTTTGACCTGATGAATTAACAAATATGGCGGATGGGCAACTACAAGACGATCCGAAATTGTTCTCTCAGTGCAGAATTTGTATTATCTGCCCGAACTCAAACGAAGTTGATGATACCGCCCAGGTAAATGAACCATATATTTCCTTCCCTCGTCGCAAGTTCACTAACATCGGTTCAGCTTTCAACTGCTATCCAGAATCATGGAGGTGAAGTCACTCTCCACCGATTACCAGCGTCGTTACCCCGGGTTCATGAATTTACTCATGTCGTGTCCTCCACCATCGACTTCCCTGGCCATGATGCGGCTTGCGACGCGTTGGTACCGGTGGTTAAACCCCAATGGGTGAATGCGTCAATTTCGAAAAACAAGCTCGTCAACCCCAGACACTATAATCCTGATCCGAGATTATTCCTAAACGACGTTGTTGTCGCATGCGTGGATATTCCTGAGGGTGATCAGGATGCCATTTTCGGAGGGGTAGTGGCGATGGGAGGATTATGCAGCTCCAAAATTACGCGCACTACAACTCATCTGGTGGCCTTGACGCTGGACTCTGACAAATGCGTCAGTCTTTTAAACAGAGGCCTAGACATCAAAATAGTTCTTCCCCATTGGTACTTGACTTTTTTTTTTCCCTTCAACTCCATTGTCCATATTAATGAGGATTATCTAACGCCCTTCACCAGGTTTGATGATTGTCTTAAACTAGGGAAGAGAATCGACGAACGTCCTTATTTGCTACCAGATCCGGAGATCCTTCGATTGCGTCATGACGCGCCTGTCCGAATCACCGAAAATAAAAGTATCATTGGCGCATCAACACCAGAGCCAAAGGTTCTGTCTCCTGAATCACTGCGTGAGGAGGTCCGGAGCGATTTAAATGTTTTTGAGGGAAAGACCGTGATGTTGTCGGAAGACCTGGCGATTGCTGCACGCCTTCATAAGTCTCTTGTAGACCTGATCGTAAAAAGCGGCGGCCATGTGACAAGCAATGTCCGGGATACCGACCTATACATTTGCCGCTACCGCGAAGGGGAAGAGTACAGGTCGGCATCAAGACTGGGCAAGGACGTCGGGAACTTATCTTGGCTCTTCCATCTTATCACCCATAATTCATGGATCTCTCCATTACGGCGGCTGCTCCACTATCCACTCGCTAGACATGGAATCCCGGGCTTTAAAGGATTCAAGATCAGCTTGTCAAATTACGCGGGGGAAGCACGTATATACCTGGAAAATTTAATCGTCGCTGCCGGCGCTGAGTGCACGAAAACGTTAAAACAGGACAATACCCATCTTATCACGGCGCATGGTACAAGTGAAAAATGCACCGCAGCCAAGGAGTGGAATATCCATATTATCAATCACCTCTGGCTCGAAGAGAGCTATGCTAGGTGGCAGCTCCAAACCATTACCGACCCCCGCTACACCCATTTCCCGCACCGGACCAACCTGGGAGAAATCGTTGGCCAAACTAAAATCGATCGGTTTGCCATTGAAGAACATTTTTGGGGACACCAAGATGCTGCGGTTCCCGAGTGGAAATCTCCCTCTGCAGTCATGCGCCCGAAAAATAACAATTTTCCAAGCAATCACAATACACATATTTCAGAACCTACCAAGGGAAAACCAGCCCATCTACCAGCTCCGGCGGAAGGAACGCCTAAAGTACCCAAACCCAACAAGTCTTTAGCTAAATCTAAGGATTCGCATCTTCAAACCCCACAGATTTCCAGATTTATTGCGGAGGGCAAGGAGAACGCTACCCCTTCAACGACGGGAAGTAGAAAATCCAAAGACGTAGCCGCTGCACGATTACAAGAAATTGCCCCCGACATCGCGCTATACGAAAAAGAAAGGAAACGTGTGGGCGGAGTTATTTACGGTGGTCGAAGGAGAAGTGACCCAAACGAGAGAGCTTCTTCTCGCAAGAGGTCGATGGATCCAGAAGACGAAACAGATATTGAAGATACAAATGGTGCCAAAAAGTCGAAGCAGGCGCAAGTCCCTATTGTTATGCATCTTTTGCTCACTGGCTTTCAAAAATGGGTTGGGGATTTGAAATTGGAGGAGTCAGACAGGGTTGGTGACATTATTCCTTCCGATGCCGTTGAGGTGCTATTTTGAATTATAAGGGGCCTTTGTTTTCAGCTAACCCTTGGAAATTGTATAGCGTCTCCTACGCAAGTTAGGTATCCAGGTCGTCCAAGATGCCAACAAATGCACACATCTAGCGGCCCCATCCGTCTTACGTACGCATAAATTCGTCAACGCCATTGCCTATGCACCTATAATCCTCCACACGGATTTTGTGAATGCGTGCCTTGAGCAGAACCAACTACTGAACCCGAACGACTTCCTTTTACGTGACCCTGAGTCTGAGGGCAAATACAACCTCTCACTGGACAAAGCTAGGCTCAATGCGCTTGAAAACAAAAACCAACTGCTCGATGGCAGGATACTATACTGCGTTGAAACCATTACTGGCGGCTTTGAAGCATTTAAATCCATCGTCGAAACCAATGGGGGCCAATGTCTCCTGTTCCGTGGTCGATCTGGCATCACACTGCCAAATCGACGTCGCAGTAGTGATGAAAATAGGGGGAATGATGGGGCTCCAAGTTTTGATGAAATATATCTCATCAGCGGCACTGAAAAGAGCCATGTGCGGTTATGGCCGAAGTTCAGGAATATGGTGTTGAATGCGAAGAAAATTCCCAAGATCGTTCAGCCGGATTGGCTATTGAATATTGCCATGGCGCAGGAATGGCGGTGGAATGATTCTCTAGAACTGAAAGAAGAAGATATTCAGATGGCTGACGCGTAGCTTTGCATAACTTTGATAATGTATGTGGCACAATGTTGATATGGTGGTTTGTATGGCCATGTACATATTTTACCCGGCGTGACAGGGCGTTTTCGTTGGTTATGGTTTGCATCGAAGGCGATGGCGGCATTCTGATCGGGCCAGGCTTTCTTCCTGAGGCTTGTTATCTAACTTCAACTTACATTCTTTCTCTTTGTTTTTCTAGTAACCCAGCTCACGCTCCATATCTCCTTTTTGTTCACCCGCGCGGTTCTCAGAAAAATTTCACCCCCTGTGAATCCTCGCTGCCGAATACCTGAGCTTTGCCCCTCTTGACCAGAACGTTAAGGGACCTTGCTAGAACGTCGGGATCCATGCCGTGGAATTCTAGAAAATTTCACATACATAAGCTTGAGCATGCTCACCGATGTGCTCCGAAAGGGCCGGGTTAGGTTTATATATAAAAACAGAAAACAGCACAACAAACCTTGCGAAATAGTGGCTTCCCCTTCCGCCAGCTCATAGAGCGTAAGCACGGTATTTTTCTGCGCAGTTTCTTCCGCCTAGAAGTAATATCATGTAATCAGCAAACAAAATCCCCTAACGGGTTCTAGGGTAGACAAGACCAAAAAGAAAAAGAAAAAGAAACCAAAAAAGAAAGCAAAAAAGGAAACTTACCCAATCCGCCAAAACCCCAGCCCATTCCTCAGGTGTCCTCCACCAGATCCACGCTACGGCCTTTCCCCCAGACTCTCCACCAACCCACTCCGCCCTCCGTCCGCCTCCCTCCCCACGAACCATCCAATCAACAACAGTCCTTGCATCTGCCAGACTAAGCCGCTTACGCAGCTCCGCGTTATGGAAGAGTGGAGAGTCAACGGCATCTATGAGCGAGAGACGGTAGATGCGATGATGACGACACCAGGCCTGGATTAGCGTGGACCATTTTTGGAACTGTGAAAGGCGGGTTGTGGTGTTTGGTTGGAGGGTGAAGAAGGGTGGGAAGGAATAGGTTGCGGGGAACTTGAAGGGGGATGTTGGTGTGGTCTGGGATGCGCCTGCCGGTGCGGGTGTGGATAGGGATGGAGACTGGATGATAGAGGGAGATATATGGTTTGTCGTTGAGCCGCCGGTAGAAGTTGGGAGGAGGACAGGAGGTGTGGGAGCTCCGCTGGAGGGAGGGGGCGGAGTGGAAGTGGACATAGTCAAACTCGACACATCGGGGAATGGCGGCGAATTGGAAATGGGTTCTTAGTCGGGAGTCGGAATCGGATTGCCAAAGAGGGGAACTTCGTGCGGCTAGTATTTAGGTATCAAACAGGCTTGTTTATAAAGATCGTATCTGGATCCAGTGGCCCCGAATGCATTGAGGGTATGTGAGGAGAAAATCAGGCGCCGTTGGATACGCGTCTGGTCTGACACAGATCTGATAAGATAAATAATATAATCACCACGTGATGCCCAGATTCGGACAGAAGAACTTCAAAACTCAGCGCACAAGAATAAACACCGATGAGAAACTATAGTCGGGCTGGATGCAATGGCCTGGACCAATTGGTTTGATTTGCCGCGATTCTAATATATCTCAGAAGCTACATACATATTTTCAAGGTGATATAATTATCCAATTTATGCGACGATTAGCGGCAGGTGCTTTTCATCCAAAAAAAGAAAAGAAAAATACTCTTTCTCCGCCCCGCCGCAGCCTTGTTGCGTGTTTGCGGGGAACAAAAGCCCTTTCGGAATATACAGAAACACCCAGATAAAACACAGAAATAAGACTGGGAATGACATCTACTCCACCTACTAAGCGCCAGAGGCGCAGCGAGTACCGCAAAACTCAAGAGCAACAGATTCAGAGCGGCGAAGTCCACCTCCCTAAGAAAAGGCTATATCGGCAGCGCGCCCATGCGAACCCGTTCTCAGATCATAGATTATCATAGTAAGTAGTCTACCAAACTTCTCCGAATTACAAACTGCAGAAATACGGCAGGAAGCTGACTTGTCTGATCTTTCTGTCTAGCCCAATCAGCCCAGCACATATGGATTGGTCGACGCATTACCCTGCGTTTGTAGACCCAAATCCGGACAATGTAAACCTGAGTGGTGCACGGTGCTTAACAAAAAATGTGGAGATAGCGGATATTGGATGCGGGTTTGGGGGATTATTAGTCGCCCTAGCGCCCTTAATGCCAGATACGCTGATGGTTGGTAAGTAGCTCGTTTCCCAATGGAAACAGGAAACAGGTTTGGCAAACATGTAGACCTAACCGTGGTAACACAGGTATGGAGCTCCGGTCTCAAGTCCTCGACTATGTGACGGATCGCATTCGCGCTCTCCGTGCACAACGACCCGCACCTCCCCTTCCCAGCCCTAACTCACCATCCACACCTCCACCAACAGCTGCTTCTGCTGTTTCACCATCGCAGTCCCAATCGCAGTCACTATCGCCAGCCCCCTCCTCGTTCTCACAGTCGTCGCAAGCCAGCTACCAAAATATCTCCGCTATCCGCACGAACACCATGAAATTCCTCCCGAACTTCTTCGCCCACCGCCAGCTCTCTTCCATTTTCATCTGCTTCCCAGATCCACATTTCAAAACCCGCAAGCACAAGGCGCGCATTGTATCGTCATCGTTAAACGCGGAGTATGCATATGTTCTCCGGCCTGGTGGGAAGTTGTACACCATCACTGATGTGGAGGAGTTGCATCGGTGGATGGTTAGCCATTTTGATGTTGGGGGTGGTGAGGAGGAGGCGGGAGAAGAAGGGGGGATAAATACTGTAAAGGAGCTGTTTGAGCGGGTTGGGGATGAGGAGCTGGAGCGGGACCCGTGTGTTAAGGTTATGATGGAGGAGACGGAGGAGGGGAAGAAGGTCACAAGAAATAAGGGAAAGAAGTTCGTCGCAGTATGGAGGCGAAAGGAAGATCCACAGTGGCCATGAACAGATCAGATCAAGCTCCTCACTAGCCGTTATATATACATTTGAAATTTGAAGATGCGTTGTTCTAAGGGGCCATTCCGAAACGTGGAAAGCAATCTTCGAATTTTACAAGTCAAATCACTACTCCGAGTTTGTCACCGGTCATCCGCCAGCATGGACCGGCTCTCCTCCCAAAGCACCTCGGGGTTTGGATGGCTGCAACCGCAGTACTCGAAACGACAGCCCCTCCTAACAATTCAATCCCGTCGAAATAAGCAACGTCAAGGACAAACGTATTAGAAATCGAATTTTCAAATACAAACTCTCAGGAGAACGAGCAAATACACAAGAGCTAGCGATGTTAAATAAATAGCATAAAACTCCGACAAAGCTCCCAAAACTATTTCAATCAAAATTAAAATCCCCACTCGCAGACACAACCTACTCTATTATGCTTCCATACCCCAAAATGAGTTCAGGTTCACAAAACGGCAAGCAAGAATAATGATAAGCACGGGAGCCCCTGAAGGGGAACCATAATGCAGACGATAAAAATTGAGAAAACCGAAAATACCCAAAAGCAACGCTCACAATAAACGCAATACTACTTCATCAAATTCGTCCGAAGAGAGCTACTGACAATCCGTATCGATTCGGGGCAAACTCGAAACCATATTGTTTAATAGCAATACTGTTCCACATGGTGCACGGCTTCGGTAGCAAAACAGGGCGATCAATGTCCAAAAAATGCCGTACACAGGGCCACCATGACCTTTTGAGCCAAAGTTTTTGTATTCCGCAATAGAAGTTGAAGAGATATATTGAACCCAAATATCCCAAAAATTAATCAAGCTTTCAGCCTTCGTCCCTCGCAAGCTTCGCAAACAGCGGTTTCAATAGGGCCAATAATCGGACGTCCCTTTCTCGTGAATCTCTGTTCCGCTTCCCTGACAAAAAAGCGCCCTTCAGAACCGAAACTGCCACTGCACTCGCTGCACACAAAGCACTTCTCATGCCATTGGCCACCGAGAGCGGTAACCACAACATCGTCGAGCACCGGCTGCTTGCACCCCTGACAGCGGGAGGCGGTACGTTTAGAATGACAACCGACGCACCACGCGTACCCAGCTTTCTCCACGAAAGGGGTAGTCGGCGTGAAGGGGTCACCGCATTCAGCGCAGAAGAAGTGACCGACATGCCACTCCGCCCCGCACGCGACGACAACTTCGCCTTCTATAGGCGTCTTGCAGCTCTTGCACCTTGGGCTGAAAAGCTCGTGGAAATCTAGATGACAGTAAAATCGTTTGTCATTGGCTCCTTCGTCGTTAGATTCAGCGTCCGCTAACCTTTCTGCTCGTTTATCTTCGGGTTCCTGGTAGAAAGCGACACATTCAAGTGGGGTCTGGCAGTGATAGCACGTGAAGCATTCGGGGTGGAAACGGGATTCGCAGGCTGTTACTATGCGGCCGGCTATGGATAGCCCACAAGCTGTGCACGATGCGGTCGGAACGCCAGTTCGGGTATAAGGTGTGTACCAGCGGTTAGTAGACGAACCTCTCGAGTTTATGGAGTTCTGCTTTCTATTTTGGCTGATTTCCGGGTTTGGTAGTGGTCGGGGCTTTTGCTCCGCAGCCTTCATCTCAGAAATTGTCGGTGGTGCGGAGGACGAGACAGTGGGTGCTGCTGAATCGTCTCCACAAATATTGATGGCTGGAACCGAGGGCTCGTCCGGAAGGTTGATAGTAGGTACCGCACCCACGGCAGGGGGTGTAACCTCCACGGTTGGCTCCTTTATAGATCCCCTAAGACTATTTCGTGGAGAATCTCTGGGAGAATTGCTCTGCGATTTATCTCTCCAAGACGGGTCGAAGCTCACGATTGGGCGGCCAGGACGATCGCTAACAGCAGTGGGCATAGGTAGCTTGGTACTGCGATCCTTGCGTCGCATGCTCGTGGCTGCACGAATGTCGTCGCTGCGGATTTCTTTACCATCTTTAGTATCCTCACCATTTGTGCCACTAGTGGCAGAGGGGGAGGGAGATGGATTTTCTGTATAAAGAGGGTTCCTCGATTGCGACGGCGGATTCCTATGAATGTCTAACACAGATTTCTTCTCTTCCGGAACTAATTTCCTAGGAAAAGGCCGGGCACCTCGAGGCAATGAATTTCGAGGCTTAACTTTCAAAGCTGAGCTTGGCAGTGCGGAGTGTGTGGTCTCAGCGTTATTTAGAGCTCCGTCCTCCTGTGGTTCCTCATATATTTGATCCTCTGGATTTCGGAAGATGCCCTTCGCTGAATCGTTGCTGGCAATTCTCGTCCGCGGACTGACTTTCCTCCGTGCAACTGTCTTGGGGGAATTGGAATCCTCCCGGGCCACTGCAAAGTTAACGTTAGGCTTTTGTCGCAGGGTTCCATTTTTCGTGATAAAGATAGTTTCATTATCCTCAGGAACCTCAACGATTTTCGGTGGAACATGGGTTCCTGTGGGATCTCCTCGCCTTTGGAATTCAGGGCTTTCCCTGCCTGTACGACTCCCATTCGATGAACTATCTGATGCAGATCTGTAACCTCCTGACGAAGAAACACTTCCATGAGGCCCCTTCTTCAAATGTTGACGGAATCGATGGGTGCCATTAAGGTCGGGGTTCCGGTAGGCAGCATGTGGATTAAGCTTCGGAAAGCCAGAGGTCTGGTGGCTCAGTACCAATTGTGTAGCCTCCTCCTGGGCTGCAGCATGCAATCGCTTTTCCTCATCTAGAAAATCCATTTCTTCTAAAGCTTGCCGTAACGACCGTGCTTCCTCTTGTTCTATCCATCTCTGGCTCCGTACTTTGTATGTTCCCGTCGTCGACCTAATACTCGCGGTTGGAGAAAGGCTTCTTGATAAATCATATGCTTGTTCTAGATCTTCTTCTGACGACTGCCCAGTGGATCCACTTCCATGGGAAAGTCCTGAGGTTGTTCTGTGGTGCGATAGAGCACTTCTTGAGCGCTGATAGGGCTCGATGGAGGAAAGAAGATGGCTTTCTGAGTTCGCGTTCATAGAAAGTGCTGACGATGCACGGGGTGGTATATCACTCCTGAGTCTTTGGCTCAACGAGTCATTCTTTGTAGGCAATGGTCGAGATCCATTAGGGCGGGGGGGTCTATTTGTACGCAGGTCCTTTAGGTATGTTGCTATGGGGAGAAACGGGTCAGTACTCATTGGCTAGGTAGCTCCTTGTCTGAAGCATAGAAGACATGCAAAGATATAAACAGCCACAATCTCGTACGGGACGAACCCTCCATAGTTATGGTAAGCTAGGTACAGGAGGGGAGGGGAAATGAAGGGATACCGACCAATCTGTTCCTCGTTCATGTAGCTTGGTCCTGGAGGGGACACCTTCCGGGTCCCATTTTTGGATCGTGAAGCACTGTGAATCATAGCTGCTAGATGAGTTCACTGAGGGTTACCCTGAATATGACGAGATCAGGTTATGGGGTCATCAGTAATATCGTGGACTATGGAAGCTGTAATGGTGGCTTTGTATACGGTTGTTTGGTGGTTTGGACCTAGAGCTGAGCTTTTATAAATAGGAGTTTAGAGCAATAACTAGTTTATAGTATTTGTTGACACGGAGGTTTAGCAGTGTTTATTGACAACACTTGATAATTCTATGGTGATATAGCTGTAGGAGCATTAGAAGACGGGCAAGATGACCGTATTTATGTGTCTCACCCTCCGCTGTCTTCCTAAATTCCGTGGCAAGCAAGCAATCCACGTTTCTGCCCGGGCGTCAAGATTCCCTCTTTCGGGCATCGTATCAACAAATGCCATGTCATACGTCACGTGATCCGTCGCTTGGACAACGCAGCGCCCACGTGAGTCTTGGCGTCTTCCCCAAGCCCTAAATACCCGATTCAGCTGTTTTCGGGCTGTTTCTGGCAGCAGGAATTCTTTCGTTTTGAAATTGGCTCCTTGGTAAAAAAGCTGTAGATTGAATTCTGCCATTTATGAAAACTTCTCACATGGCGCTTTTGGAGTTCATAGTTGTGTTCAAAGGTTATTATTAGTACGCGTGTAAATTCCGGAGCGCCATGTAATGGATGTGGCTTGTCCTCTTGAACTTAAAAACAACCAGAAAGCACCTTGCTCATGGAACATCAGCTAATGAAGAATTCATCTCAAGAACTCGGAATTCCAAGCAGGACAACTTTCAATCTCTTCTGCTTTCCAATTCTGGGGGCATCCCGAAAATGATTATGGTGCCGCATATCAAATATGAGCGCACCCACCCGGCTAATGAGTTTGCCAGCTTTGAAAGAAACACCCTCCTCAGTTGAGAATCATGAACTTCTTGAATTTCAGCAAAGGCCGCCAGTAGACTCTTTATCAATTGAGAGGATAGCAAGTCCATTTCATACCAGTTTTGGGATCGTTGGTTGAGTATGGTTTGGAAAATGCACAGTTGAGTTTATATAAATTCATATCTTACAGACCTTTACAGATCTCGCCTCAACGCAGCAGCGATATGGAAATCCTCAATTCTTCGGCTTCCGCCTCGCTGCAAACGGTGTTTGTGTGTCAACAAGTGGCGAGTGTAGCCCAGCAGCAACTGCTTGGTTTATAGACAAGCTCAAACTACCCGTCATCCAGAAGACGTCCTGGAATCAAGGGTCAAGTCAAAGAGATCGATCATCTCGTCGGGTTCAAGGGCTGCACAGCAGAAGACCCACCATTCAAATACGGAGGATGGATCACTTCTGTTTCATTATTTTCGTTTTGATCTATCCCGCCCACAAAGTTGCAAAGTCGCAAAGTCGCAACGAAACGCCAAATAAATATGATCTCGACTGCGCTCGGTCCCTGGTCTGGCTTTCCCCGCAATCGGCAGTCGGTAACCCAAACCCAAATTCTTCCCGCCCGGAATGAAAGATGGCCTGAACTCTCGGTGCTTGCTTACTATTGTTAGCATGATTGCTTGGTATCGACTGGCTCATGGAGCCGGCGAACCCTGCCAATACCCCACATCGCGACAAATATTTAGTCAGAATTCGGGCTTTTCTACCAGCTTGAACCCTCTCAAGCTAAATAATCGATAGTATGGCTCTCATCAAAGTCGGGAGGGTTCTCCATTAGCCTAGGCACCGCGAAAATCACTCATTTTCAGGCGCGGCTATGATGAAACCTGACCATTTTGATATTTTCCTTTCCGCCCTTCCTGGTTGCGCTGGACTTTGTCTTGAATTAGGGCGGCTATTTTTCTATAATACCCAGCAATATTTCCTCATACAAAGGTTGATCTGCAGGATATATATGAGTCAAACTAATTTTCCCCATAGAACTCTTACTTTTACCTGTTCCTGGGTTCATTCATCCTTCATCATTTTCACACCAGAAGACCGTCAGTCCTTCATGACATTGAAGCACATCTTAAATTAAACCTTGGCGTTTTGAAATTCTAGGTGCTTGAGCATCCACGTTAATTTCCCTATCCGGATATGCCTTGATACAGACATGGCCAATGATTCCTCGAAAGAGATTGCGGTTGAGAATGACTTGCATCGGGCCGCTATAGAGCCAACTTCCAGAGAGAAAGGACTGTCAGCAGAAAGGATTCCAGAAAACGATATCAGCCAACAATCCGACGAATGGGTAGACGAGAAGCCCCCTGAGGATGTCCCGCCAGATGGTGGTTATGGATGGGTGTGCGTGGCATGCTCAGCTTGGATTAACGGAAACACATGGGGTGTCAATAGTGTAAGACCTATTCTGCCAGTGAAATGATAAGCAAACAGCTCATGGCCTTCCCTGGTTTTCTCAAATAGTCATATGCCGTCTTCCTATCATATTACTTGTCCAATGATATCTTCCCCGATGCCAGCGACATCACCTACGCTTTTACCGGCGGCCTAAGCATGTCATGTTGCCTCCTGGTCGCTCCCTTGGTAACACACCTGGTTCACCTTTATGGCAATCGACCAATTCTTAATGTAGGAGTTGTGATCCAAACAATTTCATTTATCGGCGCCTCCTTTGCTAAGGAGCAATGGCAACTCTTTCTGAGCCAGGGTGTCTGTTTCGGGTTCGGTATGGGTTTCTTGTTCATTGGATCTGTCGGGGTTACATCACAGTGGTTTCTCCGCAAACGAAGCATCGCAACCTCCATTGCAGCCGCAGGCTCCGGTATCGGCGGATTAACTTATTCTTTAGCCACGGGCTCCATGATATCGCGATTCGGGCTTGGGTGGACATTTCGTATCCTCGGTATTATCACATTTGTGGTCAATCTCATCGCGGCCAATCTAATCCGAGACCGAAATAAAGCCACCGGATCGCAATACAAAGCATTTCATTTCCCGTTGCTCAAGCGGCCTGAATTCCTCCTATTACAAGCATGGGGTTTCTTCAGCTTGCTAGGATACGTCGTGGTGCTCTTCAGTCTCCCCAACTTTGCGCTATCGATCGGACTCACCGCACATCAGGGCAGTATTGTTGGTGCTGTCCTTAACCTTGGACAAGGATTGGGTCGCCCAGTCGTTGGTTTACTCAGTGATCGCTATGGCCGTCTCAACATGGCCACCATTATCTCGATTTTCTGCGGTGTATTCTGCTTAGCGGTCTGGACCCCAACGCAAAGTATGGGTCTGCTATGTTTCTTTGCAATCATAGTGGGAACTGTGGCAGGCACCTTCTGGACCACCGTTGTTCCAGTGTGTGTTGAAGTGATTGGTCTCCAACAGCTCCCCAGCGGATTAAGTCTCATCTGGGTTCTTATGGTTCCGCCGACAACCGTTGCGGAGCCAATCGCAGTCGTCGTGAAGGATGATTCGAAGAAAAATCGAGCTTATTTATACTCCCAGCTATTCGCAGGACTCACATATATCGCTGGCGCCTTGTGCCTGTGGGTCGTGCGCGGTTGGAAAATTGGCGATAACATCGTTACTGCAGAGAGAAACGCGGCCGCAGATGCTGCCAATGCTACGAGGAGGCTAAAGATTAGTGGAAATCCACATGATCCAACGGCTGGTGTCCCAGATGGCAGCTGTATTTCTAGAGAGAAACCTCATGCCCCAACCCAACCAACCCTATCACCGCCAGCACCGACCCCAGGTCCTATTGTTCCTGCAAATACAACGAGTTTATGGAAGCCTACCCTCCTTCTCCGCAGGATGGTCGCTTGGGAACTTGTTTGATATCGCCTAGTAAGAGCATTCCACCGTCCACACAAAACACAAGCCGGCATATTTGGTTACTGCTACTACTAGCATGCAAGTCATTACTTATCGGGGGGAAATGAAGAGACAGCAGGAGTATTTCTGTTACCTAATTTTTCATTCAGGCGTATATTTGACGACATGGCATTGCATTTTTTGAAAAGTATATAACTTACCAAGTGGAATCCAATATAGAAGGATATGGGTTGTACACACATACTCTTTTATTTCAGTTTATTTAACACCAAGACTTAGAAAATTAGCATAGAGGAACCTCAAAAATGAAGACTTTATCTATTTTTAGTTTCGTTTTTTCATTATTGTAGGGTAGGATGATGTATATATTGGCATGTTTATTGCCTGCATACAGAGCTGAGGTCGCTGCGATCAACCGGTTTTTCCCTCTCTCGATCAGAATTCCACTCTTTCCATTATAACGCCTGGCGAACCAGTCTAAACTAAGCTTTGCCCAAAATCAGTACTCTAACTCTCCTCTTTCCGGCCCCACGGCCCCCTTCCTCCTTCACAGAGCTCACGTTTACCCTAACTTTGTCAAACAAGTCGACCACCACGCTCTTCTTCGCATCCCCACCAGCTCCGCTCTCGCCCTGTCTTTCCCAAACCTTCAACGAATATTCCTCCGCATCGAACTCACTCTCCCGTCTGGCCGCAACCTGCCTCCTCTCCCCCTGCTGACTTCCGGGAATGATGAAATCCTCTAACCTCACAACGCCTTCGATACCAAATCGCGGTACGAAAACAACAACCCCATTATCAAACACACGCATGACATACCCTTCCTCATCTATCCCCGCATTCGTCCCCTCGCCCGTCCCAAGCTTAGACGCCTCTTGTTCGCCACGTGCTTTGAGTGCCTGGCCAACGTAGTATTCTATACTGGCACGGCCAGCAAACTGTGCATTGCGATGGCGATGATTGATATTCTTGCAAATATCCTCTAGTCGGCTCCGGGCAGCCAGTCCTTCTGCTGGAGAGGCACCAGGTCCTTCGTAGCCAATTGCGGCGGCTAGTTGGCGGTGGACGACCAAGTCTGCGTATCGCCGAATGGGGGAGGTGAAATGCGTGTAAATTGTCGAGGCAAGGCCGTAGTGGCGGAATTCTGACTCCGCGTGGGCTCCTGCGCAGAAGTATTCTGCTGATGTCATGCATCTGGTGGCTAGGATACGAACTAGGGTGTTAAAGAACGGGTTGGCTGGGTCAACACAGCGGTCGAGGGAGGTTGCCAGAGCAAGGGAACTCGACACGTCGAGGGTCATGTTGCGCTTTTTGGAGAGTTGGGCGATTAGTTCTTCAAAATTCGAGGGGGGAGGAGTGGCATGCCGACGAAGCAGGGCGGTTTGTGGGAAGGATTTGAAGATTTTGGCGGCGACAGTTGTGTTGGCGTGAAGCATAAATTCCTCGACGAGGCTGTTGGTGTCCAAGAGGGCTTTAGTTTTCACGTCTGTCATGGGGTCTGATAATTCCGAGTCGGTTTCTATGCGGACTTCTGGAGAGGCCAGATTAAGGGCTCCCGCGTCCATTCGCTTTTGTTTGAGTAATTTAGCTAGTTTGAGAAGTGTCCTCATGCTCTCCGTTAATTCATCCGTTTTCGATTTATCGTCAATACGCAATTGTGCTTGTTCGTAGCTGAAAGCTTCTCTGGAGAGAATAACAGATTTTGTACAAGTTGAGGATACAACTTCAGCAGAGGGAGTCATTTCCCAGATATTGGAGAAGGCATAACGTTGGACATGTGGTTTTAGAGAGCAGAGGTCAGTTCCCAAAAGCATAGGTAACATATCGATACGTTTATCCACGAGATATACCGTCGTGCCTCGCATGCTCGCTTCAGTATCCATAGGAGTATTCGGCTTCACGAAATGGGAAACATCTGCGATATGGACACCGACCTCAAAATTTCCATTAGGGAGAGGTCTAGCATGGAGAGCATCATCTATATCCTGGCAGCCTGGAGGATCGATACTGCAGACAAGTAAATCTCGAAGGTCTTTACGATCACGCCAACCGGGGTCATCCATATTTTGCGGAACCTTCCAGTTATGACCTTCGGGAGGAAGACAGTCAAGCACCATTTGTGGGAACGGTCTATACTGAACGTCATACTCGAGAAGAAGAGCCTCTGTTTCTGCACCTTTAGTTTCCAACTCTCCTAAAGATCGTACAAAATGACCTGTTGGGTATCTGGAATCGCGATCCCACGCATCAACTGTAATCAGTATCCTCTGGCCAAAAAGCTCCCGCGCCTGTCTCGTACGTATCCTAATTTTAGGTATCCGTTTATCCATGGGTATGACGAATACGGTTTGTTGTCGTCTGCCAGATTGCTCTTGCGTTCCTGACGAGATTTTATCGATGTTTCCAACATACTGACGCCAATTCCTTTTAACGATTCCCACCACACGGGCTGTTGGCTGAGGTCGACCCTCCGCGGTCTTTCCGTGCGCTTTCCTAACCTCTTCCTGTAACGCTCTTCTCTCCTTTTCCGTTACCACAGCTTCCTTCTCGTCATATTCAGCGTTTTCATCTTTAGTGACTGTCTCCTCATCAATGATTTTCGTCGATGGCACTTTCCATTGATCTCTTGGAAGAACTTCGACCACCACTATATCTCCCGCGATCGCTCGATTACTGTTGTCTCGGCCAAGGATGAGGAGGGACTTGTCAAATGCTGCCACTTGCACCGATCCCTCGAGATAGTTGTAAGGCGAAACGTTGAAAACGCCCTGGTGCAGTGTCCCCGCACGAAGACCGGTCATCAGTTTCGACATAGAGTAATACTCGGGGTAAAACAGTTCGCCCCTCGTCGGTCTCGAATCATGGGCGGCCTTAGCTTCGTTAATCATATCAAGCAACCTATCGGAATCCTCGAGGCCAGATACATAATCAGACAATGACATAGCCGTAACACCCTCCTGTTCTGCTTTGCGGAGATTATCTTTATCATCGGTAATCATGGCAATGGCTGGGGCGGTCTGCTCCTTTTGGTTTCTCTTCACTACCTGGCCTAAATGTTCCTGGTACCACTTTGCTGCCGTTCGAACAGCTCTATCATTTCGATCGTTTATGCTTTCCTCTGCGCCTCTCCTGACATGGGTTTCCAACCGAAATTCGTTAAAGAAGAGGTAATATCGCTTTTCTTCGCTCCGGATTAAGGATATTAGTCTGTTATATAATGCGAGGGACTGGTTTTTTAGCTCCTCTAGCACTGTCTGTAAAATAATCACATCGTAGAATGAACCCGTCTGTTCGAAAAGATCCATGCCATTGAGGAGGGCGTTCGTATCCGGCATTAGATAATGGCCTCGGGGAAATGACTTCGTACCGGCTGGTCGCTCAGATAGTACAAATGGGGTAACTTCGGCTAGTTAGCATTGATGGGGCATAGGTCCGCGCAAATTAGGCTGTCTCTCACCATTCCCGTTAGCATCAGTCGGCGCGTATGACAAGCACACGGAACATATCTTCGAAGAACATGGGATGTCTTGTCTCAGATATAACTCCCTAACAATCTTCTGAACCTTGCCGCTCTTTGTCGATCTCACGAAGATTTTGCTTGAGACATTAGAGGCGAGCGGGTTCGAAGAGTGATCCCTCCGCAAACTTTTCATCTTAGAATTGTTATACAGTCTCCCGTTCACATACGGTATCCGGGAGCCACACTCTGTTCATGAAACTCGGACCGACCTAATTCAAATCTGAGGTAGAGCTGTTCCCGGAGCTCCGATAGCGGGGTCTAACAGACAAAGGCGATCCCTACTTAATTTATTAGGATTTTGCTTTTTTCAAGATGCGCTAAGATTTCGGAAGATGTGAATACTTACGTCGACAAACGGTTTAGATTCAATTTTTCAGGGTGGGGTTGCTGGGCCAGATCGATGAAGCTGTTCGCGATATTTTAATTTCCGCGTTGCGCTTTGGTATCACGTGATGCCGCAGCCTACCTGCCGCGCGGCAGCGTTTACCGATGCCGATCCGATCCCAGCAGCAGATATTCAGGTAACGATTCAACTTTTGAATGAATTGACAATATTTCTTTAGTTCGCAATAGTTTTAGTGATCTATATGTGACGGCTAAAACACTTCATAACTATGACAATTGTTGTACGTTCCTTGCTCGCATCATGAGGTATTTATACTTAATTCAATACACAGGCTGTCGGACAACTATGCTCGACGGGGAACCTGGCGCACAACCTCTCCCGATGTCAAATCCTGGTTAAAAAGGCAGTCAATGCTAGCGCAAAGGTGATTCTGAATATACCGCCGCCTGAGCGCGGAGGCTTGCTTTCCCTAGCACAGCGCAGCAGATATTCCACCTCACATCTCCTACCACGGTTTCTAGAAATTCTAATGAACTCAGTTCTGATTGAATATAATACAAGTACATATATATATATATATGTATATAGGCACTATTCCTCCCCGAAGCATCAGACTACATAGCCTCATCGCCTGCCGAAACAGTGTTGCTCGCACAATCCGTACACCAGAGCCCTTTCGTTCTCGGCCTACAGAAGGAAGCTCGAGAATCGAAGGTGTCAATTAACGTAGGTATCCACGAGCCAGCCCAGGGGGGTGAGAAGGTGAAGAATACATTGATATGGATTGATGAAACGGGAGAGATCACACAAAGGTATCAGAAAATACATCTGTTTGATGTTGATATCATGGATGGCCCTGTGTTGAAGGAGAGCAGGTATGTACACACTGTCCGACTAAATAGTTTTGATATGCATACATTTTGAAGAATACTATACTTATGTCTTCCTCTGAATAGGAGCGTCGAGAAAGGGATGGAAATACTACCTCCTTTCAATACCCCAGTTGGCAGAGTTGGCCTAAGCATTTGCTTTGATGTATGTCGACCATGCTCAATATGACCTCTTCTCTTTCTTTTTCACGCTTGGCCACACCAAAAACCCACTTAGTCTTCCGCTACTTACTACAATAAACACAGCTCCGCTTCCCAGAAATCAGTCTATCACTCAGAAGGCAGAACGCACAGATAATAACCTACCCATCCGCATTCACAGTGCCAACCGGCCAGGCACACTGGGAGACTCTACTGCGGGCACGAGCCATCGAGACACAGGCATATGTCATTGCAGCAGCGCAAGCCGGTGCCCACAACCACAAGAGAATCAGCTATGGACATTCAATGATAGTAAATCCGTGGGGTGAGGTAGTTGCTAAACTTGGGGGAGGGAGCCTATCGCAAGAGCCGGAAATTGCCGTCGCTGATATTGATTTGGAACTTTTGGAGAAGGTGAGGAGGGAGATGCCTTTGCTGAGGAGGATAGATGTATACCCCGAGATATAGGCTCTTCCTTATTACGCTGGTTGAACATTTTATGATGAACTAGACAGTATACCACTTGGTAGCTGGTTCCACTAAGAATTTGGATAAAGTTCCTCTTTTTGTCTAGTGCCAACAAACGGAGCTCGATGCAGATATGCTCTGGCTTGCATATATCCAGATAGATGTGTGTAGAGATGTGATATTTTACATCAGCTTGGTGGTTCTAGTAAGCTGGATATGGACTGCGACCAAAACCCAAACTTTGATCTACAGCCTCCCATATCGACAATTGAAACGGGATTTGGATTAAGCCTCCAAGAATAGGGAAAAGCAAATAGAAAACGAAAGGAAAAGAGACAAGGCGGCAATGCCCGAGACATGCATCGTAAAGAAACTAACTCGAAAATGACAAAATAACAATTCCACTCCGTCTCACACTTTCCCCACAAAACGAATTCGGGTGAAATGTCCGATAGTTGATATAGTGAAGGGCAACTCTATCTCTCTCTGCTTTTTCCCTCCCACGTTGAACTGAAGCTCTATATACATAGGGATTAGGGCGTAGACAATTCGGCTATTTCTTTTGGACAACGTCGGGGTCTTCAAGAATGCCTTCCTTCTCTAGTCGCCTTCGAGCTTCTTCGAGAGCCCACGTTTGTATCCTAACGAGTGATTAAACATGCACCGGTTAGCATACCGTATTGCAGCAACATAGAGTGGACATATCGCATATCGACACGACTTGTAAAGTGAAAAGTCGATGTATTTATGATAGCCGAAGGGAGGAATAGGGAGCAGAAACACATACGAAGTATCAGGCTTGAAAGAATACGCGATACCAGCGACAAGCAAACTACCGACGAATCCATATGTCCACAGGCCTTCCCATCCCTCCTTGACGTATTTGTGTCCGGGCTTCACTCCCCAAAGCCATCCGGTTGGCGGGTCATAGTGGTGGTCGCCATGAGCACCACGGAGCGAGCTCTGCGTCGAGAACGGCTGGCGAGGCTGTGGCGATCGGAGGAGGCAGCGAGACCGTAGCGGGAGAGAAGGAGGACGGGCGGGCATTATCGGGCTCTATAAGTTAGACGCGGCTAGGCCGAGAGGGAGGGGTCTCAATGAACCGATGTCGAGGAAATGGAGTGGAGTGTGGGCGACGACGATGTCGCCGCGAGAGAGATGGAAAGGAAAAGGGTCAAGTAGTGGCCTGCCTACTTTTCTCGTGAAAGAAGCGGTAGCCAAAACCTAATTGATTGACGTTGTGGTAGATATGTGTTGGTATTGAGAATGAGGATGATGCCAGCCAGCGTCAGAAACGAAGCAGAAACGATGGGTGAGTCGGCAATGTTTTCTTCTTCGCGGATGTGATTGGTCATTTTAGCGCTCGGCAGTTGGAGCTAAGCGCGCTACAACATCAGATCTCCTTCACGATTGTATTAACTAGAATATTTCCTATATGAGTTATTTTCGTTGGTTGTTTTTTTCGTGGCAGCTGGCAAAAGCGTTATCTCTCTACCGAGCGCGGACGAGAACGGAAGCTCTCTACAAGCCCCTAGGCTAGCTTTCTCAAGGGTGCGGCCATCACAAGGAGTTTTCATACGCGGAATTTTGTCTGCTACGGTGGTGTACTATGACTGATTCCTGATGATGTTCGGAGGTGTTACCGTAGCACATGGGAAATTCGAACGTATATCAACGCCCCTGCTTATCACAGGAGGTCACTGTTCACCTACTTTGCATAGGCACTGGTGTAAAATTCCGAGGCCAGAGTATCTTATTAATTATGAAGAAAAGGCCCACTAACCAGCTCTTCGCTACGTGGTGCGTTGGGGAAGCTTGTTATGTGAAGGGACGAATTTCTGGCAGAGTGAAAATGAAGAGAAGCATGTGAGAGGCAATTTTTACCCTCGAATATTTGACTTTTTCCATCCCATGGGCCGTGTGGATTCTGCAGTAAACATGTGAGAATTTAACAGAAAATCGTTTGAGGTTTGTCAGTTATTATTATTATTTATTATTAACTATTTATTAAATCACAGGCTTGAAGCTTGAGCAGCCACAAAAGCGCCCATTTCACAGATATTAATAGGCTTTTTATTAGAGTGTTCTGCCAGCCGCCGAACCCAAGGGCCCCCCAAGCAGCAGATCCATGGCAATCTCCGTGCCATGCCAGGCTAGATTGCTAGTTCTCAGAGCCGCAGCTCTGACGCAGCTCAGGTCCTTAGGCTGTATAATTTGGAAAGTCAATGCCGCCCCTTCAACCAAATGTTGAAAGGTGGAAAACGCAGATTCGCCCCCTCCACTTCACGAGGAGCGGAAACAGCGCTTCATGCGCAGAATGAATCTCCGGGGTCATGCCAACGCAAGCGGGCCTTTTCCGGGGCAATTTTCACCTATTTTCAATCGCAGGTTTACTATTTGGCGGCGCATTGCCCCGGTGTGGCCTATGTGGTTTGGTTAGTTAGTTACATAATCCCTTCCGAGCGGCGATATTTCTTCCAGTTTATATTGACCTCGGCACTTCCTCTTCGGGCGAGCACTTGAGTGGTTCCGGCAGCGCAGGGACTGGACGCATTTATAGATACCATCGCTCCTCCCCCAGGATTGCGGGTGTGCTTCTCTTCCTCTGCCTCTTCTTCTTCATCCTCTCATCCTCTCATCCTCTCCCCGCATTGCTCTACACATCTCCCTCTCTGTCTCTCATTCACTATCTTTTTGCGCAAGTGGTTTACCGCCGCGGATTCCACCTCCCCCCCCCCCCCCCCCAAAAACAAATCCCACACGGCTTTGAAAATGCCACCCGTCCCTGAATGGGTAAAGGCTTTGAACCCTCCCGGTCCGCAGGGCTCGGAGCTTCTACAGCAGGAGCGAGACCGCTCCAATGTCTCCGTGAATAAGCTGGCGGAATTGGTTCATACCAAAGAAGTGCTGGACCGACAGGATAAAATTCTAGCCGTCATGGAAAAGGAGAAAGTTTTTGATAAATCACAAATTCTTTCTATGGGCCGTGTAGAACGGATAAAAGCATCCCTTGGTAAGGCTAAGCGCATCCAACAATTAAGGGAACAGCACAATTGGACAGACGACGAATTCATCATGGCCAATGACCTTCTGAGCGAGCCCACTCCTTACGGACTCCACGCAAGCATGTTCCTGGTACGAATCCCTCCTGTAAAATCGTCGCTGTGAGCCTATCAAGCAATATCGCTAATTATATCTTAACTTGTATAGGTGACTCTCAGAAATCAAGCCACACCAGAGCAAAAAAAGCTGTTCCTGAGACCAGCGGAACGCTATGAGATCATTGGCTGCTACGCTCAAACTGAGCTAGGCCATGGATCTAACGTCCAAGGTCTCGAGACCACAGCAACCTGGGACCCTACAGACAGAACCTTTGTTATGCATTCCCCGAGCTTAACAGCTTCCAAATGGTGGATTGGCTCTCTTGGCAAAACCGCGAATCATGCCGTTGTGATGGCTCAGCTTATTATTGAGGGCAAGAGCTACGGCCCTCATCCATTCATCGTACAAATCCGCGACCTGAAGACTCATGAGGCTCTTGAAGGAGTCTATGTTGGTGATATTGGACCTAAGTTCGGCTACAAGTATGGTTTTTTCATTTCTTCTAGCGCTTCATTCGCGGCATGGCTAACCATTTCACAGCACCATGGACAATGGATTCCTTCTTCTGAACCAAGTGAAAATTCCACATGTGAACATGTTGGCACGGTTCTCGCATGTTGACCCCATTACAAACAAGTACGTGCGTTCTGCCGCATCTACTTTGGTCTATGGTACAATGACCTGGGTTCGGTCTACAATTGTACTGCAATCGGGCAAGGTCCTAGCCCGAGGTGTAACGATTGCTACGAGATATTGCGCTATCCGAAGACAGTTCCAGGACCGTGATACAACGGATAAGTCTTCCGATGAGAACCAGGTTCTCAACTACAAGATGGTCCAAATCCGACTTCTTCCCCTACTTGCTGCTACCTTTGCTCTTCATTTTACTGGACGGCGAATGATGGAAATGTATGAGGAAAACCAGAGACAAATGGCCCGCGGTGGTTCAGCAAAGGCAGGAGCACTTCTCCTTGCCGATCTCCACGCCACCTCCTGTGGTCTCAAGGCCCTTGGGAGTTCCGTAGCAGCTGAGGGATTAGAGGTATGCCGACGCGCATGCGGTGGTCATGGCTATAGGTAAGATCCACCCGGTTTGTTAAATTAAGTTTTTGATGTGTTGCACGTATACCCACTCCCCAATAGTAGCTACAGCGGCATCGGTCCATGGTACGCCGATTATCTGCCAACTCCCACATGGGAGGGTGACAACTACATGTTGACGCAACAAGTAGCACGATATGTAAGTTCACCCTCTTTTGGAAATACTACAACAATAAAAGAACCGGAATTTACTAACAGATTCCCGTTCAGCTGCTCAAATCTGCTAGAGCTGTCTATGCCAACAATGCCCCTGACAACGACACCAGCCGCATTCTCAAGAATTATATTCGCCGCCGAGACATGGGAGCTGCGTTCGACATCCTTGACAATGATGCTGACATCGTAGACGCCTTCGCCTGGCGTACCGCTAACCTCACTTTTGAGGCCCTGAAAAACCGTGACGTTGCCAAGCGCTCATGGAACAGCTTGCTCATCGATTTCTGGCGCCTCTCGACTGCCCACTCACAATACCTCGTCGTGAAGAACTTCTACGAAAGTGTCTTTGCGCCCTCCACGGCCTCCGCCCTGGATCCTGAAACAACCGCAGTCCTCCACAAACTCTTCCGACTCCATGCTCTGTACACCTTGGAGCGCGAGTCCGCCGACTTCTTCACCTCGGGTGCTGTGACCATCCGTCAAATCACCCTCGCCCGGACCAAGGCAGTTGTCAAACTCCTTGACGAGATCAGGCCCCATGCGGTCCGGCTCGTTGACGCATGGAAGTTCCCGGACTGGCAGCTTGACAGCTCCTTGGGCCGCTATGATGGCAAAGTCTACGAGGATCTGTTCCACCGGGCCAGCCAAGAGAACCCTGTCAACAACTTCACGTTCGATCCATACCCATGGAATAACGCGGTGGTGAAGAATGAGAAACAAAGCAAACTCTAAAAATCCACTGCCTTTGGTGGTGTTTCTTCTCATTTCGTTTTATGTTTGATACATGAAATCTGTTTCTGTCATTATCATTGCGTCTTTTTCAGATCATGGGAGTAACACATTGATATATATATATATAATATATATATAAAGGAAGAGACAAAATGGTATACAAAAACATCCCAAAGAGTAGGTCCAAGAGAAGCCATCAATGACAGGCCAAAAATTACAGAGATGAAACATTACCAGATTAGCACCACTCACTCACGGCCCCTGGCCCCCCCTTACATCATCGTCATCATCATCGTCATCATCGCCATAGTCCGCATCATCAAATAAACCCAACCACCACCAGCCACTACCACCACCCTCCCCGCCCCATTCTCCGGCGCCATCTTCCCAACCACCGCCGTCCCCCGCCCTTCAGCTGAAATCGTACAACGAATCTGCTCACAAACAAACCCATCCGGACAACACCCGCCGCCCGCACTAGCCGCACAGCTCGTCCAGCCCCCTGCACACCTCCTCCTCCCCCCGTCGCCACCAGGAAAGGTCACAGATGCACTAGGATCAACAGGGATAACGACCGTGGCGCCGTTGTCATCCACGATTGTGGTTGAGGAGATCGGGGGGCAGGATGTGGGGTTGCAGTCGCGGCCGGGTCGGCAGCAGCCGCCGTGGTAGATGGCGCTGCAGGCGTAGAACCCCACGGGGCAACCGATTATGGTTGGGGTTAGGGTTGGGGTTGGGGTTGTAGGTGGGGATGCGGTGATGGTCGTTATGGGGTTGGAGGTTGGGCGGACGGGTGGGTCCATTGGTTCTGTAGATGGTGGTGGCGGTGTTGGTGGCGGCGGCGGGGTTGCCGTGACGGTTGTTGTTGAGATATATATGCCTATGGCTCGTTGGTTAGTTTTTCAGGGGGAATAGATAAAGGTGATAGTTAATATAAATATATATATATGTAAGCAGGCTGAGGAGGAAATGAAATGGGCATAGGAAACATACACCCCTGATCCACACACGAGTATCCCGGGATACAACACCCACCCCCTGGATTATCAGGACAGGGACTATACCCATACGCACACATGTTTAAATCGCCCGAACAGCTCTCTCCCGCCCCGCAGCATCCCACATCCCCCAATCCCGTGTCCTTCACAAACACACATTTGCTCCCCTTTCCACAACAGCTATTCGGCCGGTTGATGTATGTGCATGGTTCCGTATCAAGAGGGCATTTAAACCTTCTTTTCCCAAATATGAGGTCTTGGCCCCTCGCCGTCCACCGCGATAAAGAGCGGCCAAGGAGGGGTACTGACATTGCTCTTCCGCCCCCTCTGTCTTCTTGATATTTCATGTTCCCATGCAATGGGAACGGTGGGGATAATGATGAATCTATGGAGGTATTCATCCAGACATCCACCTCATCATGATTATCAGGGCCATTCCCCAGACCACGGCCCGTCAATCTGCCAAAATCTTCATCATTCAGCGTCCGTCCTGTACGGCGAGGACGCTGTTGTTTCCGTCCTACATTTCCCCCATCGCCACCACCACCACCACTAGCAACAACATCGCCATCGCCATCGCCATCGCCATCGAAATACCAAAAATCCAACCAAAACTTCTCCCCCTCGTCGTCCGTCATTTTCCTCACACCCGCCATTGACTGGCCAGCCAGTCGTCGCTGAATGTCCCCATCGCGATTCACTAGACTTTCCTGTGCGATGCTGCTAGTGGCATGGGAGATGTTGTTATAGTTAGTATTGGCGATATCCGTTGCGGCATTTGCGGGCGATATTAGCAGTAGGTGTAGTAGTAGTAGTTGTAAGGTAGCGCAGAGGAGGAGGACGAGGAAGTGGTTGGACAAGGGACGGGGAGCAGGGTGGTGAAGTCGCATCGGGGATTCAGGGCTCAAGTTCCTTCCTCCTTGTGAGCGAACTAATTGGTTCGTTCCCGATGGCTAAGTTAAGTAAATAAGTTATTAATAGCTCAGCCCTGTGGGACTGGACTGACTGGGATAGTATTCTCGCGGTGGCCGGGGGATAATTTATATATCTATAATAGGGAGTGAGAGTGTGTATTCTGCACCTTGGCAAAGAGTGAGAGAATCAAAAAGAGCGAGATGTCTTAGAAGAGAGAGATATATATATATATATTGTGCAATGTAGATGTAGTTAGTTATGCACCACCATACTATACTACTGTACATTTATGGGTGGTCGTGTCGTGTGGACAATCTTCAATCTTCCCCGCTGCTCTGGTCAGCTATTTAGGACGCGATGGCGGAAGAGGAGGGAGGATGTTTAAATAAAATCAATGGCTCTGGTGCTGGCGCCTTTGTACACATTTCCATGCAAGCCATGTAACTTAGTTGGTTGGAATTGTTGGCAGTGGGATGTCAACAATACAATATCTTGATTCCAGAAATTCCTGTATTCAATTAAGGTGGTTGTTTATTTACTTGAGATCTCACTATTTAGTTATACAAATAGTTTCACTCTCAACACTCAGTTGCACCCACCTATAGCTTCAATCAAAAGCCATTTTCAAGTTATTTATTCACTCTCTTCTCACCATTATTTATTCAATTTTTTTTCCTTGCTACTTGTTTCTTGTTTCTTGTTTCTTGTTTCTTGTTATCTCTCATGCCGATCCGATCCATCACCAACTGTATCCAAGATTTGGCTATGTTATGTACATACATGTACCACTGATCCAATACAGAGTCCATCCCCATTCCACCTGGCAAAACCAAGTACAAATCACTCGAGCCTGTAAGCGTGGTCTCAAAACAAAAAAAAAAAAAAAAAATAGCGAGGGAAAACAAATTGAAAATGATGGCGATTGATCGAAGAGAGAGAAGATTGACATAGCAGTCAATTATTTTTGGCAACAGCCTCAGGCGAGAAAATGCGCTCTCAGACAGCAAAATATCAGTCTAGAACCAGCCCAAAATCTCAGCCCTCTTGCGTATGTATATATTATGAGTACTTTCTACGTTGCATGCGTCCAATCCATACCACTGGCTGAATGTCACCACTCTCCTCCTGTGTCATCCCCGGGACGACGGACGACGATTGAACAAAATCGAAACATCTAAGAATAGTACGTTTCCAGCTGCAGAACAGAATGGAGAAAAAACGGGTGAGGCGTGGAGAATTATAAACAATTAAGTATATACATATAAAAGAAGGGGGCAAAATTTTAATCTAATTTGTCCACATGTCATAAGAAAGGAAATGGGCACCATAAAAATTTCATCGAAACTTCGTTCCATCCCCCTTTCTCGTATAAACGCTACCTACCTACCTATGTATAGGTAGGTACACAGCCAACAAAAGCCTAGCCAGCCAGCCAGCCTCTGCGTTTGCTGGTGTAGCTATCGCATTTCTCGTACACGCCCGTAAAAATAGACTTCAAAATTCAATAAAAGGAGAACAAACGAAGAGGAGCTAGGAAATAAGCCGTAGGGTGTTGGGAGAGTGTATATATGATGGAAGATAAAAGGGAAGCAGACTGTAAATAAGAAAGTGTCTCTGGGGTATCGATAACAACGGAAAGAAAGAAAATGAACATTGGCAGGAAAGAAAAAAAGGGAAAAGAAAAAGAAAAGAAAAAAAGAAAACATGGCTCTGTATCCAAGCAAATAAAATGTAAAGATTATGGGGACATAGGGTTCGACGCGAGAAGGCCAAATAAGGAAAAAAGAAATGTCAGAGTACCAAAACTTCCCACGATAACAACCGCTAGCAACAGCAACAAGGAGGAAAAAGGCGGAGGGTTATGTAAAGCCGCAGCGTTGTGACACGGCATCTAAGGATTCTAGGTTTATTATCCGGGGTATCGAGTGTTTCAATTAGCATTAACAAAAACCAAAAATCAAAAACCGCACAAGATTAAACTAAAAAGAAGAAGAAAATTTAAAATATGTAAAATGTGATATACCCAGTCATGGTAATGGCCCCGCTCGATCTATGGGCAATAAACGTCTCAAAGATAACGTTTCGGTGCCAAAGGAAGTAAACAGCGGGTCGGGGTTGGGGGTTAGATTGGAGGAGGTTAGGAGGGGAGCAAGGGGGAACTGGGAGATTTGGTGCCAGCGGGGAGATTCTGCCAACATTCAGTTGAATATGGACGTGAGCCAAGATGAGCGTTTGCGATCGGAAGCTAAGTTAAGTCCCCGCAACAGTTCAAAATGTTAGAACAACAACCAAAAAAAAAAAAAAAAAAAAAAAAAAAAAAAAAAAAAAACCCAAAACCCAAAACCCAAAACTCTCTATTCCCTCTTGGGATCCCATTTATAATATACGCAGCGTAATATAGATATATGATGAAAAATTTCCGCTGCTCTACATACCAGGAGCAGTTGACGATTTTGGCGACTTCGCAGCTTCATCCTTTGTAGGAGCAGGGCCATCGCTAGCACCAGAACCACGGGCGCCGCTTCGTTTACCAGCTGATGAGGGATTCGCATGCTCTTCCCCTGGTCCCACGGTTTTAGCTGACTCGGGATTATCCACCTCGGGTGGTTTGTCATCAATAGGAGGAGGGCTTGTAGCCGTGGATGTGGCGGCCTCAACGTTCTGTTCTGACTCAGGAACAATTCCGTTCATGCGCTCCCATACCTCCTTTCGTATCCGGTCTTCTTTTGCTTTCCGCATCCGTTCAATCTCTTCGAAGCCACCGCTCTTCTTCAGTTTTCCCTCCTCAACGAATTTACCTAACTCCTTTTGGAGCGGACCGACACGGCGGGTCTCCAACTCTTTCTGCCTTGCTTTCTCGGCACGTTCTATGGCTTCAAGCCGATTTTCGTGGTTGGGTTGCAGTGCTCTTACTTCTCCTAGGAGGTAATCCTTGGCCTTCATAGGGTCGAGTGGCTCATCGATGGGGAAATTGCGAGATACATTTCTCAAACCGTGGGGTCCAGGGGTCGTGTTCGAGTTAGAGTCCAGACTTTGTTGTTTTGTGGCTTGTTCCACAAGCCCAAATGTCTGTGTAGCCTTTTCGAGATCGTCCTCAAGGTCAATCACGAGATCTTCTTGCATTGTGAGTTGATCCCTCTCCTCACACACAAGCTGCAATTCTTTCTCCCAGATCTTAGTCCATATCGGTTTCTCTCGCTTAAGGAACTCCTGCATCTTTTTCAATTCCTTCGTCACAGCACTGATATCACGGCCTACGGCTTCCAATTGTCTTGGTAGCGGCCGGACACCACGTGTAACAACATCCTTCCGAAGATCCTCAACGAGATCTTGAAGATCATCCACACGAGCGACGATCCTCTCAGATTCGTCAGCAAGTTCCTTCTTCCCTGCGTTCACGCGAGCACGGCCTGCATCACCCTCAAACGACGGCACAGTCATCTCATTCGCCGCATTCTTTACAGAGCTAGCCTTGGATCGGATTGAGCCCATAGAGTTTGATATATCAACTGTGAAACTCGTATACGTCTGGCGTAGCACGGCAAGATCACGACGAATATCCTGAAGTTCGGCAATATGGTTTCCACCACCTGACATTGGACCGTCGGACGTAACCCTAGATTTGGATGTTGCTGCGGGGGGCGGAGCTGAAGCAAGGCGAGCAATCTCTTTCGCAGCTTCTGACTGACGGTCAGTTAAACGTTGGATAGATGAGCCTTGTCCATCAACAATTTCACGAACTCCTTCAATCAAACGGCGGAGACCGCCAACTCCATCATCGAAATGCTTCTTCACCTCGTCTAGCGGCTCAACGTTCAACACAAGGACTGATCGATCTTTTACGTCACTCAAGTCTTCCAGTTCATGTCGAACCCCAGAGACGGGATCTTGAAGGTAAATTTCTGGTAAATCTACACCATTGTTGTGAGTATTCCAAGCGAATTTTTCGATAAAGGCCAACTGTAGTCTGCCAAGAGTTAACTCCGAATAACCTTCCGGCAGGACGTATTTCTTAATCTTGCTTCTATACTGTAGGAAGAGTGTTATTTCTTTGCTTGGAGGAGGTGACGACTCGGGAGTAAACTGGCCAGCTGGCGAATTGTCGGAGCTCGTAGACGCAGTTTTAGCATGTTGAGTCCCGTTCGCGGGTGCAGATTGCTGTCCCGTGCTCTTCCCTGATGGACCCTCGAAGGTCTCTGAACCCGAGTCCCGCTCTAAAATATGGGGTAGCGCAGGGAGAGAGCCACCGACTGTTGGCATATCTCTCGACTCATAACGGCGTGGAGAGCCAAGCTTGTCAGTCGGAGTTTTGGGCAACGGACCATCGTCTTCAGTCGATGCCACTGATGTATCGAGTTGCGGTTTCTTCACTGGTTCTCTACGGTCCGGGGAGGAAGTGGTTTGGCCAAGGGCTGATTCAAGAGTCCGATTATTCGAGCGCTGTTTGCTGTGAAGATATGATCCACGGAGGCGCACAGCATTCATTGATTCACGGACATCGCGTCCTCGATTCGGAACTGGCGAATTCTGTGAAGATGGAATTACAGGAACACCATTAGGAGATGGACCCAGGTGCTTTTGTATCTGATATGCAGAGAATCTCCTCGACGCTCGTCGTTCCAGTTCGCCACTTCTTTGTAGCATTCCAATGGCGTCGTTTTGTTTAGAGGTTGGAGGCGTGGGCGGTGGTGGATGAGGGAAATCATGCGCGGAAAAACTGGGGGGATTGTCGTAGCGAGGTCCGTTCATGCTCTGGTCAGGATATGTAGGCATAACAGGGATATTCTGCATAGCACTACTTGACAAAGACGAACTCGAAGAAGCAGCTGACTTTTGCGGGTCTCTTTTTGAAGCTTCCCTTTCAGCAAAAGATTGTCCATGGCGGTCATTAGACCAGTTGGAAGAAGAGTTGTTTCTGGAAAAGCCCGTATCTCCATAACTTTTCATTGCATTATTTTGGCGAGATAACTCTTGTTGTCGTTTCGGTGGTAACTGAGATACGGATGGAGTCTCGTCCATGGTCTGATTTAGACTATTATCTCCGCTTCCCACGCTGCCAGCGCTCCCATGGCGTGCTGTTCTGGGCAAGCTGTCCTTCATCTGCCTCGACCGCAACTTAGCCTGTTTTTTCTTGAGCCCCTGGAGTAAATTGATAATGATGTCCCGTATGCGCGGCAGGTACCGATCCAGGCTCTCTGGCGATGCATTTTGGCTGAGGGTGTCTTCAAGAATTGTCCGAAGGAGATCAGGCACGGGTCCTAAGTCTGATGTATCCACCCCAATAGCTCCAAAAGCTCTACAGGCCAAGTTGAACTCGTATCCCAAACGCACATAGACGTCCGAAACCTCGCTTTCCGACGCACGTTGTCGTGACCATTGTGTGAGAGTCTCTAACAACTGCTTTGTCGCAACTAAAAGGTGGGTAACGCTCTTTTCTATCTGTGAGAGCTGTTTGTCCGGCTGTTGCTGTCCATGAAAGAAGACCGTCCGTTAGCATATGAATACCACAAAGGAGCAAAGGAGAAGTATATCCGTTTGCAGACCAATCCCTCAAAGCAAACGTCATGCAAAAAAGCACATGGGCATAGTGCATTATTATGAAAGCGGGGGACAGGAAACGTAGAGATGTAAAATATATAAGCGTACCGCGCTGCGACTTAAAGAGGATTTGCCTGACCCGGAAGAGGCTCTTGTGCCCACGGGTTGACTCATGTTTGCAGCATCACCAGCAGAAGCACCACCACCACCGCTCCCACCACCTCCTCCGCTGGAGAGAGACGCTGACAGCATCTGCTGAACCACGGGCGAACGAGCACGATCGAAAGCGGGAGAACGTATACGGCGAGATCTAGACTGGGAGGACGAAGAAGAAGAGTCCATGTCTCTTGGCAGCACAGAAAAGGCACAGCTGGTTGTGCTATGGATATGGTGTGAGTTGGGTGATTTTGGGTTGTGGTCGTTGGGCTGGGGAAAGGAAGGAATGGAGGCGTGGATACCAATTACGGGGCTGGTATGGCTGTTACGCCGTTGCAGCTCGGCTGGCGGGAAGCGGGTTGACTGACCACCCGTTAGCCTGGATTCAATACGGTATGGCTGGGTACAGTTTACCTACACCAATCGCCAATCACAGGCCATATTTGGGGGTGCAGGTCATGTGATGCCGTCCTGAAACAGCAAGGCGTCACTTGGCAACTTAGTCACGTGAATTCTTGGCGATGTGACAGCCTGGACTTATCACATGCCAAAGCAAACGCATACACCAACCAACAAGGGTGTATATGTACAGTACAGTACATACTGCACACCATGAACATGTCTTCTTTTTGACCAAGTCATAGTTTCTATTTTGCGACCCTTGAAGTTTGTACTGAATGTATTACTATTGCACAGGTTCGTCAGAGAGCCCCTGCATCTGCACATTAAAACCTCTCTTAAGACACTGTGCGACCAACTTCCCCTTGTCCACCGACCAGTTTCCAAGGACCATCTCAAGGCAACAATCACCATGTCTCTCAAATGACACCCTTGAAATGACACTCGCAGGCCAGACATTAAATCCATGTTCTCAGAAACCCGGGCAAAACGTGGAGTAGGAATCGAGCCATGCATTCAGCTACCTAGCGATGGAAAATCTACTAACGTTACGTTGTAGTGTGGAGGTGCTAGCGCAATGGCTCATATTGACGGGGGGCGTCTACCAACCTTGCCAACATCTACTGCTAGACGGAGGTTCTTTCCCTTGGCCTCTTTTATATGCGGTTAACTAGGCAAAGCAGAGTGGCAGAGACATTTCTCTGTTAAAAAGGACATGTATTTTTAGCTGAAAACTACCAAATCCTTTACGGAGTAGAATGAGCTGTGATGTAGTCTTCAATGACGTATTTCGTTGAACATCTCCCCAAGTTGAGCCGCCACGGCGATAAAGTTAGTTTTTAATTTCTAAATTCAATAGAGTTCATTAATCTAAAAACTAGATACATTGGATTTGACTTTATTCTCTGCTTGAAAGCTTCTGTGGAATGAAAAGGAAAAGCATTGGTTACTGAGTCGAGCTGGGATCTGTAGATGGGTGTAAAAGCAATGAGCTTCCTCAAGCTCCAAAGTATGTTCTGTTGGCGGCTCTGAATGTTCTTGAGGTCAGACTCTCTCGTTCATCCGCATGTGTTTGGTTGGTTGGTCATGGCTGTTGGGTTTCAGGTTTTCATTGCCACCTTTGTTTGGGTGGTTCCTCGCATGACTGCTCTTCTGTGGTGAAATGGCACCATGTCGGAAATAACCATACTACCTAGGTAAACAATAGAAGAACTCACTGATAATTAGATAGGGGGTGAAGCTCTTCAGCTGTATGAGTGAGCAAGTGGGATATCTTTCCTCACTAGAGTTCCACCAAGGCCGTGAGTGTCAAAATACCATTTGAATAAATTTGAACCGTCAGCCCTTATACCATCTCTGCCCAAAATCGAGGTTCGCAGGCCCTCGCCTGAAGCCGCTTAATATACTCCGGATCATGCCAAGGATCTTGTTGCTTGCACTCCAACAATGAGGCTGGCAAGTGAGGCGGGTGAAAAAGGACGCCAAAGCAAGCAAGCAAACAGTATGGTAGATGGATGTGCGAGTAGACCGTAGCACAGAGGCCGCCTTATCGTCTGAGGTTTTTTCCTTAACCCAATCACTTTGGAGATCTGCTCATGAAATCTGGTTGAATGTTCTCCCCGCACCAACTAAAGGTATTCAATAGTATGTAGCATTCGCTTTTAGCAGTTAAGAGGCACAAAGGCGAGAGAGAGTGCTCCAGAAGCTTCCCGGAGACCTAGGAGTTAAAATTAATGCATTATGAGTTTCCCTTTGAACAATTCTCAGCCGCTCAAGAATTCTACTTATTCTCAATTCTCTTACAGATTTTTTCTGTTCTATCTGCTGTGTATTATGAGATAAATAGAGAAGCTTTTGTTATCAATTGAAGTCAAAAAAAAATTTTTTTTTTTAAAAAATTATCTATTTATAGTTCTTAAACTCAGCTTATAAAATAATCAGATCTGTGGTATTCTACTCCGTATAGTCTCTGTGATTAACACTGATAGCAGAAGAGAGAAATACAGTGCTGTCACTCTTCATATTATAGATTCTGCAGTTATGATAGTTATACAAGTCACTCTTATAAGACAGACAGACTAGTAATAAGTTTAAACTTCGGGCGCGGCTGGCAAGGAGCCATTCGCTTGCGGTCTTTTTTTCAACCATGACATTGTTACTGATATTATTATATTACTGATAAAGAGTACTTGATATAAAATGATGAAGATATTTATATTGAATAAGCTTTTTCTTTTCTGAAGACTACTTCAAAGGGAAGAGTTCAAAGGCAGTCATGGTTATAAGCTGCCAGACTACAATCCCCTCTTATCATAAGTACGGAGTAGTGGCTTGCTTACTCCTGTCCCCGGCGCCCGGGGCCTATTGTTACAGTAACAGAAGAGTGAGAATGAGGTTGATGATAGCAGTTGGTTCTCACACAACTTAATGAAATCTTTGAAGCGTGATTTTTACTTTTATTTTTTATCTTTATTTTGACTAGATATCAAACCACACCTTCTGCTGCTGCTGAACATTTATTAATCAGCAGGAATTTTTTAAGAGCAAAGAGGAAAATTCATTTCAGAAAGAAAGTACTCCGTACAACTCTATCTATCAGGCATTAACCCGTTTGATACTGAGAGGATGTGTATTGTGTAAGTTACTGATATGTAAATACACGTTTCTTGGAGCAAAGAATTAAAACCTTGATACATTGAGTTTGGCGGAAGAATTACCTGAGACAGGCCCTGACAAATTGACAATACCATGGTGACGCGCCAGGTCAATCTGGGAGCCATTCCCGATATGGCTAAGGGATGGACAAATCCGCGGCGGGACAGTTCTCAAAGCGGCAAGGGGGATCGAGCAGTGCTCGTTAATTGGCGGATGGCGTTGGGCTAAAAACGAAGCAAGATCAAACTCAAAAAGAAAAATACGGTTTGGCGGGAACTGAATGAAGTACGTCACAAACTCTGACGGTACCGTATTTACGATACTGCCCGAGTCTTTCGCAAGTTTGCTGGCTTCCTCCGCCCAATCTTCGCTCTTTTCTTCTCGTTGCGGCTCTCTTTTTTCCTATCTCAGACCTCAACTCAACCCTCAACTCTCAACTCCCCGCTTCTCCTCCCTTCCTCTCCCATATCTTCTTCTTCTTCTTCTTCTTCTTCTTCTTCTTCTTCTTCTTTTCCCCCTTTGCCCCCTCCCATTGAGCTTAAGCTCTATTCTTTTCGTTTCCCTGTTCTCGCAGTGGAGAGCTGTTTCCCTTAGACATATCTTCTCATTCCCTTCCTCTTCCCGCTTCCACCATCCACTCCCGTCTTATATAAATAACGCCAGGCGGTGTGGGCCCTCTCTGGCTCTGGATCTGGCTCTGGCTCTGAGTTTTCCCCCTCTCCCAGCCTGGCTGGTCCCCCCTGAAGTTTTCACGCGCACTTTTTTGTTCTTGTTTTTATTTTTTTTTACTGCTCTCCTCGAACTAAAAACCAAAAGTAAAATACCTAGGCGCAGAAACCTTGGTAACTTACGTCTTCATAAATTTGTCCAGCCATGGCATCCACCCTCAACTCCGTGTCGTCGTCTGCCAACGGAGCCTCAGGCAATCCTCTCAGCAATCCTATGCAGCAGAATCCCTCCTCTGCTGCTTCTAACAATAATAACAACAGCAACAGCAGCAACAACAACAACAGCAGCAGCAGCAGCAGGCCAGCTATGCGCTCGAGTTCCACGCTCAAGACCAGCACTGATGGAAGTCGACGGCAGGCAGCCAGCCCAGTCGACGGTGCTCAAAGGTATGTCGTCGTTCTCGTTGCCATTGTCTCTGTCGCGGGAGCCGCACCTTCCCATTATCCCATTCCCCATTCGTCTCCATCGTCCTTTCCCCCTTGGCAGCTGTGGCATTGTCTTTGTTGTCGTGTTACGACTGTGGCCGTGGAAGGAGCCAAGGAGGTTCCAGCTTAGGCGTTGAGCCTCCTCATGCCTTCCAAATTTCCGCCAACGCCCCAGAGCTTTTCTTCTTCCACACACACAAACACGTAAACTCACCACATGCACACACACAAACACAAACCTCTACACATCTACAAAGCCTCCAGTTGATTCCTCTTCCTGCTTCTCCGTGACCTTGCCCTTAGTCCGTCAGATAGGCGCTGAAACATTCTATGTCTATTCTCATTTCTTGCCATGTTCGCCTCGATGTCTTGAATCGATTTTGCCCTCTACCACGAGCACGTTCACTGACTTTATTCCTCCGTCCTTCGCATATATTATAGGCGTAATAACCCCCCAAAGGCCTGGACTCAATCCACAAATCCTCTCACCCAAAAGCCTTCCTATCCAAACCAGAACGGAGGAGCTCCTCAGCGGAAATCCACAATTTCTCCGAATCCAATGGCGTCGTCGTCGCCGAACAGGGAGTCAAATACCCCTGATATGCATGCAAATGACCGCCTTACCTTCCTCTTAGCTGCCTGCATAGTACGTCCAGTCCTTCTTTCCCTTACCGGTCCTAGGCACACACACACATGCGTCGTCGTTCCTCTACTAACACATTCTGTTTGGTAGGGTTTAAATGCAACCGTCACAACTAAAAGCGGAGAGAAGTTTTCCGGTATTTTTTCGGGCTCGTCGTTGGAACCAAATGACTCTTCGTTTGCATTGAAAATGACACAACGTTGCTCCTCCCCACAACCAGACCACAGTCGGTCGAATGGCCTCAGTGATCATTCCAGCCTTTACATTGGGTCAGGCGTAGATCATCAAATGATTTTCGATGTTCAAGATGTTGCGGATGTCTGTGTTGAAAACGTCTCGACTGTCGGAATTGCTGCAAAAGAACAGAATGGTAATTAAGACAGCCTCTCCATCTTTTACCACACACATTTTAGCTAACATTCGTTTTACTAGG